GTTTGTCTGCAAGTAGTGTTTATTTAACGAAGCATAACAAAAGTCGTTCAACTAGAGACAAGCAGTGATTCTCGACCTTTTTGGAGGTACCGAACCCCACTAGTTTCATTAGTTCATTCGCCGAAACTTTCTTAATAGTTCTATCGTCCGCACTGACGAAATCAGAGTTTCTTCCAGGCATCTCTTCGCCCCTCCCCCTTACCCGAAGAAAGTCTACCGCCCCCCCCCCCCCTTCTCCTCCCGAACAAAATGGAATTTATCTAGACAATATATGCTTTTAACAGTGACCGCCCCCCCCCCCCCCCCCCCCCGAAATTTTCAAGTCCACCCCTGGAGAAAAAAGTCTGGAAGAAACACTGGACAAAATTCGAACGTGAATCTTAGGAGTCGGCTGTGTCTCTTGACCTCTGTTGAACTTCTGAGACTGACTCACCGAACCCCTGGGGTTCGATCGAACCCAGGTTAAGAATTACCAGGTTAAGAATTACTGGACTAGAGGCTAATTTAAACCAATTCTGGTATATCAACTCACGTTAAGGAAATTGTAGGCGGTTGGGCATATTGCTGACCACACTATCCTTTCATATGCCGCGCCGCGGTCAAGACACGTGAACTCTACTTCTTCTGCCCTATGGATCATTAGGTTTTAAAGGGAGATGTATTTTTACTGGTCTGTCAATATACTTAACATGAAGTAATAATCCACCAACATGAACTTTGTGGTATATCACTATATTTAGCCAACAACTAACAATCCACACAAAACATGAACTTTGATTTAATGCTCTCTTGTAATTAGAGCCTGGTGAAATCTCTACTGAAGAAAACAATAACAAATATAATTGTTTAAATAAAATCACAAGCTTTCAAACATTACGCTAATATAAAAACAAGTTTCTAACTATTTCTCTTAAAGCTGATTTTTTTTGTTTCAACTTTCATAGAAAATGCTCGTCCAAGTATCGTTAGTTATCGCGAGTCTTGTTGCTTTTAACGGCATCACCACAGAGGGCGCTGTGTCTATAGGAGTAGGTAAGAATGTGTGCGTTTGTCCCATGTAAACAGATCTAAAAATACAGAAATTATATCTATATAAAATATATGAGAATATTACTAGTTAAAATATACTATTTGAGCATCCATTTCTGCATTTAGAATGTTATACCCCAAAATTCGAACAGCAAGAATTTTGTTTTGCTAAGGATTATGAAAACCAGCTTACATTCTGGCTAGCTCTACGTGTATTATACCATTCACAAATCAACACTTCTGTCTTCTGTATTTTGTAATTTAACTTTCAGACAGATTTATATTTACCGTTTTTAATTGTATATAAAAGGTCGCTTGTAAATTAATCGTAACGGTAAATTTTACTACAGATTTAAACGTAATATTTTTTTTAAACGCGTCACCAATCGATAATTGATTCAACCGGTAAATTTTAGAACAGCTTTGAGAGTATTTTTTTTTTAAATGCATCAATGAACTTTCTAGAATCAATTCCACAGGTGAATGTCCAGATGGTCACAAACCTGGAGAGTCCTGGTACCCCTGCAGGATGCCAGAAATGTGACTGCCATGAGAACCGATACACCTGTTACACGTGAGTCTTTAATTGGTTTTACTGGCATATTTTAAGTGTACCTGCTCTGTCCCAGGCTTGGATCTTGCATTTCCAATGCGCAATCATCCTATGGTCTATTAGGACTACTAAGCCATACTTTACTTATTTGATAGAGTCAGTAATTCAATAATGTCCGCTACACAGAACATCCAAGTCGAGGTGTATCCTATAGAGGTTCATCTAATGTGTTTCTTATTCTTTCATCACACGCGAATGGCAATGGAATATATTCACACAATAAGTGTGTTATACTTGTGTGTCTGTCAGTGTGCGTAATATATATATATATATATATATATATATATATATATATATATATATATATATATATATATATATATATATATATATATATTCATGTATATGCACGGATGTTAGGTGCAAACTTCGCCCCTTTGTGTCCTTTTAAGTAAGTAAAGGTCCCTTTTTCAAACCAAGCGGTCCATGGGGCAACTGAAGTTCACCTGTTTTAGAGCTGGGCGGACTCAGGAACAATCTACTGTCTTGAACCCGAATTCAAACTCAGGACTTTCGGGTTAAGTCTAGCGCTCTACCGCTAGGCCACCACCGTCCCATTCCCTTTGAGTAGCAACTACAACCATTCAACCCTTTACCCCCCACAGCTGTGGCGTGTACGCCCTAGAGCTCAACACGACAGTGTGCTACCACTACAGGGATGAAAGCAAACCTTACCCAGACTGCTGTACGCCCATCACCAAGTGCCAGGGAGACGAAGGCTTCGATGCCAGCATGCTACAGATCGTTGGGAAATAGACCTGTGACCTCTCCTGTCAAGGGAAATAGACCTGTGACCTCACCTGTCAAGGGAAATAGACCTGTGACCTCACCTGTCAAGGGAAAACGTTGGTTGGGGAATAGGTCATACCTGTGATCCGGAGAAAAAAAAATATTTTTTTTTAACTGACAAGATATTGATTAAAGTAAAAAGACAAATATTTTGTTTGATTATAGTGAAAAGCCCCAAATATTTTGTTTGAATAAAATGAAAATCAACAAATATTTTGTTTGAGGTTTCTTCCTATTCCGGCTTAGTGTGATGAAACGAGATATATTTTGTGTTCACGACTTTGGGCCCGCGGGCCTCTTCCTGTTAAAATAGTTGATAAGTTAGGTAACAATTAATTTTGAACTTATAGGTTTGAGTTATGACCGGGGTTAGGATTAAGAATTATAAGGTTTCACCATATGACCTGAAGGGCAAGGAGGGGGAGGGGTGGGGGGGGGGGGCGGAAGAGGATGGTCTGAGGGAAAAACCGTTTACTAAACCACCTGTCATTTTTAAAACTCAAACGCGGGCTTTATAGGGAAGCCCTCTTCAATTTACACCCTAATTGTGCACTTAATTTTAATTTAATCACTAACAAATGTGTATCATCATTATGATCCTTCGTTATGGAGCATAGGGCTGGAACCACAAAATGTCTTCGTACTCGGTTTTGGGGCGATTCTTCCAAATTTGGCCCACGAAATTCTGGCTGCTTCTTCTTCATAGACATCTAATCGTTTGTATCAATCGGTAAATAATCCTCAATCGATGGCGGATTTTAGCTGGGGGGGGGGGGGGGGGCTGACAAAGCAGGAGTCCAGGGCCCTCATTTTTAAGAGCCCCCACATAATCCTTTACTTACATGTTTTACTGGTTATTATTATTTATTGGGCTTTAAATGTTTGAATCAATCAAATCGTGTGGATAGCTTCACTATCCCCTACTCGAAAAGGCTGAGAAACGCATTGCGTACTCATACTCAGGGACAGAAATCGATATTTTCGTACTACATATCACAGATTCAACCAACTGTCTATTGGACTTCTCGTATGCTGGAGACAAATACATGTTTTTAATTTTTTAAAAAAATAATGGTTAATTAACTCCCAAAAAAGCAGCTTTTACAATTTAAATGCATGGATCGTAAAAGAGGAATTTAAGCATAAGAGGCGTGCAGCATCACACGGAATAAATAATTCCGTATAAATTAAACTACCAGTACTCCGGGGTCGAACCATTGTTCTTGGACTGATTCATTTGTATGTAACCTGGTATAAAACCTGGTGTATTAAAGTGATTTATAATAAACTTAAGTAATATTTACAGTTGAATGTTTTCTGTTCGATAAATAGCACTTGAATAATAAGACTTGACTGGTTTGAATGAATAACATGTGTTTTAGTTCATTCTAGTGCACATTAAACAAACTAAAATTCAATTCTTTTCCATATCTTATTTTAAAATATAATATTAAGTGGTTATTTTTCTTTATCAGTATCTTTAATGTCCATGTCTTGCAAGTAAACTTTCTTATTCCAGTTGCTTCAATAATTTGCAGTCCTTTTCTTCACTCTTACCGAGGTAAGCGCAAAATTGAAAACTAATATAAGTGGCTTAATTGTAACAATTGACGTCTGCAGCCTTTAATAGTAATACACTTTGCGCAAAAACGTTTATACCATTCGAATTTTCCATAATGTTTTCTAATAAACCGGGAGTGATCTCCCCTTAAACTTTCTCGGATATTCTAATATAAAACTACGAGGGATGGCAACTCAGGACATTGACAATATTTGTAATCCATTTTTAATTAAACTTTTTATAATAGAACTAGGCGGTCGCCTAGGGCGCAATCCCTAGAGGAGCGCAAAAGGTTTAATCGCTATTATCAAACAGTACCTAATAATTAATAGCTTTTATAACGGAGTAGCGATCTATTTTGGCACCCAGGACGAACTATCAATTTTGCATCCCACCCCAAAATTAGGTCCATATAGGCCAGGGGTTCCCAACCTTTTTTTTTACTCTAGAGCACATTCTAAAATATCGGTAGGGTGGCGGGCACCACCTATTTTAAATCGACAAACTCCTTCCATAACTTGTCATTTTCCCATAATTTATTTTCTTATTTTCTTATAGACATAATGTATTAATAAATAATAAACAAAAATATTTCAAAATAATAAAATTATTTGGCATTTTTTTTTTCAATTTGCATACACACAGTGAAATGTATTTACAAAACGTAAAGAAAGTAAACAAAACACATAAATACAAAAGAAAACATTTAATTAAAAAATATAATAAAGTCAATGTGATCTTTGGCATTGCATTTCATTGGCCAGAGCTTCATAATTAGGAGCGTATGACAATAATCCTGTGAGCAGACAATCATAAAGATGCTCATCGGTGAGTCGAGATATAGGCCTATATCTTGATTTTATTAAGTTCATGTTTGAAAACAATGATTCGCATAAATATGTCGAACTGAAAAATGATTCAAATGGCACTAGCCGTTCCAGGCTAGCGTAAGTAGTGCAGTCTGGCTCGCCGCTAGACAAGTTGGGACAAGTATCGAACATATTTAATAAACCTAGGCAGTCAAAAAAAAATTAAAACTGTAACAAATGAATAAAAATAAATCGTATTTTAAAATAATGTTTATGAAAAAAATTCTGTCTCTGTCGAATAGTGAGAGGCGGGCACATATGAATCGTTCAGCGGGCGCCATGGCGCCCGCGGGCACAGGGTTGGGAACCCCTGATATAGGCCTATATTTATTCGCGATGGTGAAAATGCAACCCCCACCTCACTAATTTTGAAAGGTCGGGGCGCTTTTTACCAGTCACTTTGCCTTTTTAATTTGGTGTCACATAATTGATGTAGAAAACGATTAAATAAGTTCGTTTTTTAAATTTCGAACATTTCAAACGGTTATTTAATTTTAATAGGGCTTGTAAGTCTCGTTTTCTATGACTTTGAATTAGAAATCTGTCTTGGTGAACAACAGAGTTTTGTATGACTGGGTGTTCAAAGTATTGTACTTGTTTGGTAAGTTTTGATGAATCGTTTAGATTTGGGAGTAACGGCGGAAGGCTGTTGCTGATATTGTTTCGTAGGTGTAAAGTATAGAAGTGTTAAAGTATCATAATTTTTATTCGGCTGTTTTATAGTTGAAGGTCTAGTGGAATCTGATTGGTAATAGAGAAATGAGAATGCAGGTGATAAAGTATCGTAGTTCTTGAGTTCGGGAGTATCGATTTATGTGGTATTAAGGTATTGAATTATATTGTACGAGCCGGCCCGCGGCATAACATACGCCGCTATTTAGTTGTTTCTAATTTTCAATAATTCATAATTTGTGAATTCAACAGTACCAACGCTGACACTGAAAATATTTCTTTAAAACACTATAAGTAGCTCGTTAAGGACCATAACCCCCCCCCTCCCCCTCCCCCCCCCCCCATACGTTTAAAATCGTTGGCTCTGCTTGTAAACATTTAGAGTGAACACAGCTCACTAAAACCATGTAGGGGTGGGGAGGTAGGGAGAGCGTTTGCAGCTTGTTTTCTAACGGCTCGAAGAAGAGAATTATATATATAGATATTGACTGTTACAGTGTAGTAGTTAGGGTAGCCAGATACCTTTTCCGAAAATACTGGACACCTTTCCATCCTTCCCTTCTCAGGTATGCCGCAAAGCAGAAGAAGGGGGGTAACAGAGTATTATTCATATACTTGTCCAGTATTTATATTTATTTTATCCTGGACAGTCTGCTCAAATACTGGACTGTCCAGTTCAAACTGGACACCTGGCAACCCTAACAGTAGTAGGTCCAGTTAAATCGTTGTTGATTAAGAGTACCGTTTGTAGAGCTTGGTGAAGTTAAACGAGTTGGTGTCGTAGTTCTGGAGGATCGAGTCTAGTTATGCTTGATATGTGTTGTAAATGTAGTAGAGTAGGCCTATATCGAGTAGTCGAGTTTATCGTAAGTTAGATGATTTCAATTCAGTGCGGAACACACTACAGAGAAAGGTAGGCATCCTCTGGTTGAAAAATATTTAGTTTTTTAACAATCTATATTACCACTCTTAAAGTATTAATATATAACGAGAAAAATGGCCCGTTGAGGAAGGATACACCGGGCGCTAGGTTGATAGTGCTGTCTCTTTTCTCTAAACTAAAACCAACCCACCCCCCCCCCCAAAACACACCACCCCCCCACCCCCAACACCCCCCCCACCCCCCCCAAAAAACATGTCTACCGTCCCATTCAACGAAATATAATTATATACTTTTTCCAGTGTCCGCCCCCTCCCAGAAAATTCTACACCCGCCCCCGAAAATTTCAAGTACCCCCACCCCTCTCCGGGGAGGAAAAAGTCTAAATTAAACCCCCCACTCACCCCACCCCCCCCCCCCCCCCACACCCCCCCCCCCCCCACCCCCCCACCCACCCCCCTAAAAAAAACATGTCTACCGTCCCATTCAACGAAATATAATTATATACTTTTTTCCAGTGTCCGCCCCCTCCCCGAAAATTCTACACCCGCCCCCGAAAATTTCAAGTACCCCCCACCCCTCTCCGGGGAGGAAAAAGTCTAAATTAAAACCACCCCCCACTCACCCCCCCCCCCCCCCCCACACACACACACCCCACCCCCCACCCACCCCCTCTAAAAGAAAAACATGTCTACCGTCCCATTCAACGAAATATAATTATATACTTTTTCCAGTGTCCGCCCCCTCCCCGAAAATTCTACACCCGCCCCCGAAAATTCCAAGTACCCCCACCCCTCTCCGGGGAGGAAAAGTCTGAAAGAAACACTGGTGTCGCGCTTAGCCACTACCCGAAGAATTGCATTAAAGAAATTGCAAGAAAACCACTTTTTAGATTAGACACATTAATTAGGCGGCAATTTTATTATAGAGTATCGATGAAGAAATTTCTTTTGAGTTGGGGAGGGGGGGGGGGGCTCAGACGTTCTTACGCGTGGGGTGGGGCTTCGCCCCTACCCGAAGAATTGTATGCAAGAAACTCTTCACGCAAACCATTTAGATTAGACAACATTTCCTTTTTATTCAATGTTTACGCGATAATCAATGACGTCATTATATTACTGTGTGCACTTTCCGCCTTGAGATTATTTTCAACTCTATGCTAAATGTGTCGACGTCATACTTCGTTTTTCGAAATACTATGCATGTTTTTAATTTCCTTGTGTTTTCTCTAGAGCGTTCTTGTCAGACAGAGCGTTCTTGTCAGATAGATACATAGATACACAGACAGCGAAACTATTAGTATTAATATTAAATAGGATGGAATTTATATTTATATCTAACCGTGAACTTTTTGGTATTTCAAATTATATATATTTTTTTTATATTTACTCAATAAATCCAGCAATGTCTAAAACAGTTACCCGTTTGATTGTTTGAAAGCATCCCTTTAGGGGATCCAAAATTTTATATGTAACAAATATACAACATCGCAATAAAAAAATTAATGCATCGAAGCTGAATAGAAGTATGTTATAATAAAGCTACCGTTTTTAGAGATTCAAACAGAACCTACAGTTAAGTATTCAATAGGTAAAATATATTGTTTTCACAAGGTTACATAGAAAATACAAAAGATTCATTATAATTATTAAGTAATGAAATTTACAGTGTTTTATTGTGTTTTTCAGGCATGACTTAGTTACACTTGGTTATTTTAGCGATCCTTGAGAAAATTATTTCCCTTGAATAAAATTTTGGTATTTGCATTTTCAAATGGGAGATAATTCGTTGCTTATCTTTACATTCATTTCAAATTCCTGCGCCTTAGGTTTGCCGCTTATTATTTTACCATGCATGCTGCCCAGCTTCGCTTAGGCTTTCGAAAACATTGAGAATTTGAATGCTTAATTAATTCGCCCGAGGGTCGGTCTACGACCTCAGGAGTTATGAAGAGGTTCCTACGTGGACATTTTTTTTCGATTTATAGCTCATATAAGCCGCCAGTCAGTCGAGGTCAGTTTTGACCCCCTCATCATAGACTTTTCGGCCAACCGGCCCCCGTGTTCTGTCGCCCCAAGGCTAGATCCTGCCAAATTAGAAGTGCCTGCGGCGCCGGGAAGTGCCCTATCGGGCACCCGACAACTTTGCTTTATATATTATAGAGATTAGCAAATTGCATAGATAAACAAAGATTTCAATAAAGTAATCAAGGCCTGAAATACTTTAGTATAGAAATATATTATTTGAATAGATTCTAGATCTAGGTAGGGCCTACATCGGTGTAAGTCTAGTTTTTCCGTAGATCTAGATCATCTAGATCTAGATCTAGAATCTCTAGATCAGTGTTTCTTCCAGACTTTTTTCTCCGGGGGGGGCACTTGAAATTTTCGGGGGGGCGGTAAACTTTCTTCGGGGGGGGCGGACACTGTTAAAAGTATATATTTTCTATATAAATTATATAAATTTCATTTCGTTCGGGGGGGGCGGTAAAAAATTTTCGGGGGGGCTTCGCCCCCCCGAAGAGATGCCTGGAAGAAACTCTGCTCTAGATCTAGATGATCTAGAATCTCTAGATCTAGATGATCTAGAATATCTAGATGATCTAGAATATCTAGATCTAGAATATCTAGATCTAGAATCCCAATAGAATTTTTTTTCAAGTTAAGCCAGAGCAAAATTGTATTGTATAAATTTTATAGCGTACGTAGATCTAAATCAAATTTGAATGAAATAGTTCATTTCTTTTTATTCTAAACACGGCAGATGACGTCATTAGTTAATGTATAAACATTAGTGACGTCACTGTTTTGTGCATTCTTTTTCACAACTATAAACGCTTTTCCTGTTGCATAATTAAAACAGTTTCTCTACATTCGAATACGCCTTTATTTTTTTTTCTTCTTTAAATAAAATTGTGGTTATACATTTAAAACATCTAACATATTATTTTCAACAAAAGTCCGTATAAAGGTATCCATATATCGCTGCCGATTCTGACGTGATATCCGGCGAAAATATTTTGCGGACAGACAGAGAGAGAGAAGTGCGCACATAGTCTATTATATATTAGGATGGAATCTCGTAAAAAAAAAAGAATTGCACACTAAGTGAACGCTTAATAAAATGTGCATAATAGTGCATTATTAGTACTTTATAAATTTACGTGCGTTTTTTTGAGAAATCGGAAATAGCGTAAATTAGTACTTCTGGTCAACGGAAATTACTCAAAATTTGACAGAAGGTAGAGAATTAGATCTTTTACTTACATGTGAAATTTCATTTATCTATCTGAAATAGTACTCAAGTTATAGGCTTTTGAAAAATTCAAAGTAGAAAAAGTACCACTTCCAGTTATCGGAAATCGCTCAAAAGTTGATACGGATCTACGATTTTGATAAAATACTTATATATGATATTTCATCAACCTAGCTGTAACGGTACTCAAGTAATCGTGTTTATACACACACACACACACACACACAGACATACGGACAAGATTGCAAAATTATGTTTTTTCGTGTCAGTGAGGTGTAAAACGATTTTTTTTTTTTGCACGATTACAATACATTCTCTATACTTCGCATATACGAGATAGTAAAAATGAAGCTAATTAAAAGTGATAGATGTTGCCCCTTTCCGTATCTTTCCTGTATTTGTACCAAGTGGTGCAGCGCACATAGACACAATGACCTGTTTCTCTATTTAAAGGATGTATATCCATATCGCATTATAATCAGCGACGGATATATCTCCATCATTTATAAAAGATTGAAATGACGTTTCAGAGAAACTGAGTAAATGGAAAGATTGTTGGAGCTATTCAAAAACTATAAAATTCGTGGTGAATGTTAAGCAGTTATAAAATATAAAGTATTTATATACCATAGTTTATAGCACATGACGTGAGGACCAGTGTGTTGAGAATTGGCGATGGATTTTTTTTTTCGTACGAATGTTGGTTCAGAGAGTAAAATAGCAATAAAATAGAGACCAAATAACAGAAGTATTTATGCAAAACGTATTTGATTATGTAAATGATAAAAAATAAGACAAATTAAGACAGTGAGTAGATCTATGTCTATCTTTCACTTGACTATTTTTCCCCTATTTTCACAAACACCTAGATCTACCTTTAACTACCTCACTATCTCTCTATTAGTCCGACCTGCCCCCAATAAAAACAAGTTAATAAAAAGTCTAGTGACAATTTAAGCACAATTTCCTTAATTAATTTTTTTGTGACCGAACGAATCACCCGTAGATGTTTGCCCCCCATTTTCGTTTTCGTTTCTCTCCACACGAGCAGAGCTAGTCCCCGCCCCCTCGCGAGATCTGCGCGAGTCTGGCCAATGGCAGCGTGACGTTACCTCTCACTAGCGACTGCCTCAGCCGGTGTGCTTGTGCTAGAAATATTTGTATATTCTTAATAATCTTAGACAATACAAATTAGAAGAAATTAATTATTTGTGACTGAACGAAAGGATATTTTTGAAAACTTTCTTCGGCAATATTGTTCTAAATAATGGCAGGAATCGATTGGTAAATGTTTCAAGTCGCTAAGTGGTCTTGTTGCCGAGATATGGGCCAAAAACTGCATTTTTTCCCCATGTTTTTTGGCTTTTCCGGGAAATCCAGGAAGGAATTCCGGTAATCTTTTTGGCCCACAATCATCCTCGGAACTTGCTTAACATTTTTGCTTTGGAACTAGTCCTCGATATTGCTTCGTTGAGGAGGAGATACGACTAAAAGACGACTTAAAGCTGCGGACACACATCCATTAATCCCAGTGTTTCTTCCAGACTTTTTTCTCCGGGGGGGCACTTGAAATTTTCGAGGGGGCGGTAAACTTTCTTAGGGGGGGGGGGGGCGGACACTGTTAAAAGTATATATTTTCTATATAAATTATATAAATTTCATTTCCTTCGGGGGGCGGTAAAAAATGTTCGGGGGGGGGGGGCGAACTGGAAGAAACTCTGATCCATCCATTCCCAGAAATGACGAGTTAATAAACGCAATTCTCCAGAATGGAAATTGCGCTAAAAATGTAATATATTGACAACATTAGAAATTTATAGGAATGTCCTTATTGTTTCGTTGATTTTCATTTACAGATGGCTAGTTGTGGTACTTAGCATGACCCAATGTATACGATCACTTGACTTGTTTACAAATATTGATATCAAATTCTGCGTGTTGGTCACAGAAATATTAGATCTAAATATTTCACTGCTCATATTCATTTGAATGTTAATGTAGTCCCTAAACATATAGTCTAAAGGTGTTATTTAACTATCGGATATTCATTTGTGATTTAGACAAAGTAAATCGCTACTTTAGGTTTTTTCTGAACAATCTCTTATCTTGCTGTTCTCAACTGTTCTGAAGTGTTCTTGCTGCAGGCAGACAGATTGATTCGTCTCTATGATGTCTATGCTGTTCCTATAAAATACATAGATCTAGATCTAGAATCTAACCAAAAAGGAGAATTTAAAATAGCTGAGTCTGATACTAGTTATAGATCTAACTAGTTAATGAATGGCAATGCTACAACTAACAACAAGTCTTCTTTTTCATTTTTCCCCACCCTCTGCATTTTTATTTCAGGAAAATATCACATCTTCACGTGACAGAATCATAATCATAGATTTTATAGATTGACATAGAATCTAGATCTAGCAAGAATCTAGAGTTATAGATCTAGAATCTAGGTCCTAGGTACTTCTATCTATTAAAAAAAAACTTTGCATGGAGTTTGTTATTAGGGGCCTATACTGGCTAGGCCTACTATATTTATTTAATTATTTATTAACATTTTGTTCGGCAAAGTAATAAGCCTAATTATTCAGAAAGTATAAACCACCATTCTAAATTTATCTGTTTTTTTCTAGGTTCCAACCATATAAATTTTCAATATTGACATATCTGACGACCAATAAATAAGTTAAAACTTGATTTTTTAGGCCACTGGTTAAGCTTGGGCATTGATAAAGTGTTTAGTTGTTTGTTTTATATTTCTTCTGGTAGTCTAGTTTTTAATAAAAGAGGTGATAAAAGCTGGTTTATAATTGAAAACAATATTGTTTAAAACATCACCTGTATTTATAAACGCAAAATCTTTTACAATTATAATCAAGAAAGTTTACATTCCTTAAAAAAACATATTTGTGAGTTTTTTCTGTGACTTTATTTCCCCTCACCACATGTTTAGCACTATTTTTAGCATGGTTTTTTTATGTTTATAATGTTATGAATCATTCTTATTGTAATTTAACAACCTTTTTAATCAGTATAAGTTTGATTTTGATACTATTATCGATGTTGGAAAAATCAACTTTTTTTGCCTAATTTTGTTTTTTAACTATTTTTTAAATAACCCACAAAAACTGCTTAAAGTATTACAGTGACCATTCAAAAGTTTAACTGGATTGATGCCATTAAATTAATTTATTGCTGATTACCAATGACTGATTTCACTTTTATTTTTGCTTTCAGATACTAATTTTATTAAAAACAAAACAGCCTGAATAGTATTTTATCGTCTGCAGCAAGTCAAACACAAATAAACTGGAACAAAAACTACCTTAGTGGATGCCGATTACAATAATGCATATGCTTGTGTTGGATCCCTTGAAGGACTAAAGTTTAAAAAAGCATCAAATTTTTCCTCCCAGCTTTTAGTTTTACCAGTAAAAACTCAAGTGGCTTCACCATGTATTGCCTCCAATGGCTGATCCCTGTGCTTCTGATGCCCAAGCCGTTGAACCCAGCTTTCATCTACAACCACGCCATGTTCATCGTCCTCTACCTGACCAGCTTTTTCTTGGTGCGCAAGCCCTGCACCATCTGCAGCATGGTTTTCCTGGCGGCAGTGTTTCTCATCTGCTACAACTGCGTGGGGAACTGCATCCTCTGGCACTGCTCTTCAGACGAGTGCGAAGGCGCCGACTGCCAGACGACATTTGAAACAGCCTAGCCTGGAACTGTATGGTAAAAATATTTGCAGGCAGAGTCTTGAACTGTACGTCAATATATAAGGCCAGGTTTCTTTAATACAGTAACATTTCATTGACTACTTTTTAAAGTTAGAAATGAACCTATTACCACCAATGCACAGTTTTGCAAGTCACTTTTGCTTATAAACCTCTATTACAACTGTAAATACCACATGTACAATGCCATTATTCTAGTTTCCTAATTCAGCTACATAGATCTGTTGTACCTTAATTTAAAATTTATCCTCCACAATGATTTTGTGCAGGATACAAAAGCTATTTTTTACTCCCAATACGCGAAATCACTTCAAAAAGAAAGAAAATTCTTTTCTTTATTTGATTTCCTTGATGGAAATGACTTGCCAAGGCTGTGTTAGAACGCACCTTGTATCTCCTTACTAACAGCAATTTATTATCTGATTATCATCATAAGTTTATCCTGAACACAACAATGTTTATATTTTATTTCCATGTCTGTTATCATTATGCAGCTATCACAGGCTTACATCGGATAACAATTTATAACTTTTTTTTTGTAAACTTGATTGTTAAGACCGGCTGAGCTGATGATAATGATGATGTGTAGTATAATATCCACCAATACAAACAAGACCTAGTCTAGTCAATGAGCAATAAACCAACAGCTGTTCAAACAATAAAATAACTACTGTATTTTGGAAACAAAAAGTCTATTTATAACCCAATTTCTTAAATATTTACCTTTGAAAAATTTAAGTAATTGAAATATTTCTTCATCAGCACCTAAATTTTTCACTATTTTTTAACACCAATGTAGATGCACTTATGTGGTTTTATTATATATTTTTTTACAGTTACTTATTCTAAGCCATATTGTTTATTTTTTTAAGGAGACATAGCTTTATATTTTTATTTATGCTAGATTGTGAGTACGCTTCTAAAGTCTAGACTTAAAGCAGTTATACTTAATTGCCGTTTCTAAATATTTTGTTTATGTTTCATTGCCTGACTTATTTTTTTCCCACCTTGTGATACACAACTCATTTTGGTGTTCAGTGTTTGATTCTGGGAGGGTTAGGACTAAACTGGTGTAAGGGAAACAACCCTGAACTTAACTCTGGTGAGAATGCAGGGACACAACTCCAGAAACAGTTCTGCATTTACAAAACACTGAACACAAAAAAATATTTGTCTTTAAACCATACTAGTACAATGAACTATTGTAATTCGCTGCTGATTTTTTTTACTGCTAACATTTGTCTTCTAATTTCTTCCAATATCAGCTTCATATTGTTGTTTATAACTTTTGGGGTGGATTTGTTCATTAGAAATGTCAAGTTTTTTATGCCTATATTACTTGGTGAAGGGCTCAGAGCTTTCTTGGAATCATTAAATTGCATCGTTATCATACAGATAATTAATAGACAACCAACTAGAAACATTTACTTTTTTCAAGGATCTTCTTCTATTAGTTAATTAGAGAAATTAATTTTAGTTCAAATATCTTCTTCAGGTATTAGATTAGAGAAATTAATCTTACTACAAGTGTTTTTTTTTTACCATTATATTGTTGAAATGAATTTTAGTTCAAATATCTTCTAGCAATTAATTAGAGATATTGAGTTTAATTCAAGTGTCTTCTTTTGCCATTATATCTGTGAAATGAATTTTAGTTTTAGTTCATATATCTGCTAGCAATTAATTAGAGAAATTAATTTGCATTTTACGTAATGCTGAAAATTGTTTTAGAGTATCAAATGTATACTACAGCATTTGAGAGAATTTTTTCCACAATGTTCAGGCCAGAAACAAATACACCATACACAAAACACCCATTACATTTCTACATGTTTATATAGAGCTTATGCCTTCTGTCTGCCTTATTAGTCTATGGACTTGGCTGTGGATGTGTGCATGATACACAAGAACTAGCTTGTTAGAACATGCAATAGTATCAGCTTTTGTTTTAGACTTAAAAGACCTGGGCATGGAATAGTGTGAAATTTTAAAAGACCTAGGCATCTAATAGTGTAAAATTTATGGAGACAAAGATGGCTGGGTAGGTGTAGTGTATGTACGAAGCAGAAAGTAAATGTATAACATTACTTTATATTCTACAGATAAAAATGCTAGTCAATGTTTATTCCAAATATTTCAAAAACCTAGAAATGCTTTTTTGTATTTCTTATACATGGTTTGAATAATTGCACATTTGAAATATGTATACATTTTTTCTTATCTTCAATTATAAATGTGTTATTTTTTTTATTTTTTAAATCTTGTAGTATGGTGGTAAGATTGTTACTGATAATGTAGGTAGTTGTATCCTCTTGTGTATGAGGATGTTTAAACGGAGTATGAAACAGCAGTAATGGAGGGCGTGTTGTTAAATCTTTCACCCTCTGTCCTGCGTCAGTTTGTCAGCTGACTTTACCTCTCTGTTGACGTCAATAACAGATGCAAAAATGGCAGGACGAAATATGATGCAATGGTTATATTTTTAAACGTTTACACTGAGAATAATGTTTTTTCACGCCCAAGTCCTTTACAATACAGTGATAGATGTTTCATGAGTTGTAATGATAAATATTGTTTATATCCTTTTGTTAGTATAAAGTGATATCAACTATATATTATAAAATGTTACAGCTAATTATAACTAATAGAGTACATTTTTTAAAAGAATGTTATTATTGCTTTTGGTCTATCTTAAGATAACATTAACAATTCTACATCTAATGCTGTTGATATAAGTCTATTTCAACTATTTCACCAGTTCTTTCCCCTTGTCTCATTATTGAATCATGCACTGTTTATATTTAATTTTTTTTCTCTCTGTATTTTAATTTATTTCCCAGTTGTTATCCACAATAGCTGTTTTATGCATTGTAAAATATACTGAATGATCGATATCTTAGTTGATTTTGTATTGTGTAAATAAACCAAGGTACTAAACAACTAAATGGATGTTGTGTCAGTTAAATGGTTTTAAAATCAATGCTGGTAGTTAGGATAAAAGATAATTAGGTGGTTGCGGGGAGATCTCCTTCGTTCGTTAATTTTATGTTGGAAGGGATCCCCTTCAACACAATTAAGTATACGTGTCGACTGGTAGTGCACCATCGAGGCCATTGACCCCGGTTTCAGCCTACTTTTCATTTTGGGTTTGCTTCCATAGCCTTTGTCCAACCCAGAGCAAACTACAAGGCATCAGTTGTAATGGTGATGAAGTAAACATTGACTAGACTAGTTTGGTAACTACCTCTAGTGTTTAGACTGCCTCAGACACTGTACATAGATCTACTCATGATCGTATGACTTGGTACCTTATCCCTCTTATAACTCAGCTAATTCCTACTCATAACTCTCACTACCTATGTTTCATACCCTAAGAGGTACCCTATGTTCCACCTATCCAAACCAAATACCTCATGTTCTACCTATCCTAACCAAATATCCCATGTTTCACCTATCCTAACCAAATATCCCATGTTCTACCTATCCTAACTAAATATCCCATGCTCCACCTATCCTAACAAAATATCCCATGTTCCACTTATCCTAACATATGTGCCAACTATCCCAACCAAACCCACCATATCCGACCTATCCTTTAAAAATATCACAAGCCCCTGTTTTCCCTAACACTATCCACCATATAGCCCATATTTTGGGGAGAGGGGTGCCAACTTTTGTTTTGGATAGATCTTCACTTTAAAAATATTCGACAACATAAGCAGTCGATATCATGTGTGGCACTGATGTACAAAACTGTACACAATAACAGACAGATGTACACATCTTGTACTCTACACCAGACCTTGATGCCAGACAAGATGTGCAAACATTTTACACAATAAAATACCTTAATATAACATAAGATGTACACACATCTTGTACACAATAAAAGTACTTGATATCACAATATGTACAAACGTGTACTCAATAAAAGACCTTGATATCACTTAAGATGTACACAAATCATGTACTTAACAGCAGCCTTTGACATCACATGATGTAGCCTACAACCATCGTGTACGCAATACCAAACAGCATGTACACACATCATGTACTATATCCCAGACATCAATGCCAGCCATCGAGGCACCAACAAGAATTCCATCCAACATCACGACCAGTCAACACCCAACCACGGAGTCCCCCCCACCCCCCTCATGCCAGTCATTCATTCATCAACTACCGCCCGCGGTGTCGACAGTAATTATTTCACTGATTATATTTAATTTAGCTTCCATTAGACGAATTACACCACGGGTACATTGACGTGGGGACAAACAAATCGAGATTTGCACAAAATGTTTTCCGGGGGTAGTGTGAGATTAACTGGCGCAGGGGCGGAGTTAACTTGCACGTGGAAACAGCAACACGATCATGTTCAGCTATGGAATTTGTGTTTCTTTCAGGCGTTGCTCTGTGGGGTAGAGGGGGGGGGGCACTGGAGCACGTCTACCACTCCCCCACCTCAGGTGAAAACAAAAAAAATAATATTATTAGAGCTAGCGATCCATTGGGCAAATGAATTTCATTTTTCTTGACCTCGGCATATGAAAGGAAGGTGTGGTCAGCACTATGGCCCTAACATGAATTAGATACCAATTAGAGCTGGGTGGACTCAGGGACGTTCTAATGACTTGGAACCGGATTTTAACTCGAAACTTTTGGATTAGCAGCCTAGCGCTCTACAACACATGCCGCCCCATCAGAGGCGTAGCGAGGGGGGGGGGCGGGGGTGCGGACCGCACCGGGTGACACCATTTAGGGGGGTGACACCAAGGCAAAAAATAGCAAAATATATAGAGAAAAACTTGAGGGGGGTGCAAATCGAAAGTTTGAGGGGGGGGGGGGGTGCAAATCGAAAATTTGTCCCCGGGAAGGGTCGCTACGCCTCTGGGGGGTGACACCATTAAGTGCCGCACCGGGTGACACCCGACCTCGCTACGCCACTGCGCCCCATATAAATTTTATATAATAAGTGTATATGTTAACCAGCGCCCCTACCCACCCCTCCGTGTTGCATTCCATTTTAGGTGTTGACCGAGTAAAATATCTTTAAAAAAATTGTTTTAAAAATATAAAAATGTGCAATTATGGGGAGGTGTTGATGTGGTAAGCGTAGTTGTTACGTCATTTGTAATAAAGGGAGTCGAACTTTTTAGGACGATTGGGATGGGGAGGTAAAGATCGTTTTTAAAAAGCGTTTTTTTTTTTTACGGATGATTCCTTGCCCATAACAACGAGTAATTCTACATTCCTGCATTTCAATCGTAAGGTCTCTCGCTTTAATTTAAAAACATGGCGGTTCTAGGTAGCTGGTAGATTCTAGTAAAACGTGTTTCTTATTAGCACGCTCTACATTTAAATGTCCTGTTAGATCCGCCCCTGTATAATCTGCATGAGAACGCCCGCTTTTAAACAGTGCAGGGAAAATATTCCGTCAAGGTCAAGGTTGTTCCCCCATCTACCTGGCTTGTATACAAAAACACAACATCGTGTGTTCACACACGAGACAGACAACACGGTGTGTACACGTCAGAGAACACGGTGTGTACATCTCGACCACAATCTTGCATTCGTGTTTGTTGATGTGTGCCGTCCTTTCTCGACCTTATAAATAGCTCGACAGTTTTTAGTCTTGCAGCTTTGCCGTGTTAGGCTGATGTGAGATACACTTGATGTGTAGGAACTGTTTGAAGAAAGTGTTTCCTAGACAGCACAGCATACTATTTCTTCTATAACGTAAGTGTGTGTATATATATATATATACATACATTTATACATATATATATATATATATATATATATATATATATATATATATATATATATATATATATATATATATATATATATATAATATTAACATGTATGTATTGAAATACTGTATACATGTGTAAATCTGTGTACGTATAAAGGCAAATATTAGCCTATATATATATATATAAATAAATAAATAAATAAATATATATATATATATATATATATATATATATATATATATATATATATATATATATATATATATATATATATATATATATATTCTATAAGAAAATGTGATTTTACATTCACATCAAATGTTAACATCTTAGGTCTTACGTCCCTTTAATTATTTTCAATTGTCACCATCTAACTTCAACTTACTAAAGTAAAGCTATATGTGTGTATGCATTTGAGGTTAATCATGTAAAGACCCCCTCAGGAGCAATAGACCATTGTGTGTAACTTATTTGTGATCCTTTATATAATCTGAATGCTGGCTCTGCGAACTTTCCCATACCAGATTTTGTTCCCCATTCATCCACTACGTCACGTCTAAATTTAGCACATCTCAAACACTATTTCCTGTCGTCTGCCCCAACTGTGTGGTCATGTATTCCAGGTCATCTGATCGTCCAGCCGATGGTGTCTGGTGAGGGGACCATGTCGTGGGAGGATCTCGTCTTTCACATCCTGACCACCACCAGCAAGGTGGAGAAGGTCATCGTCTACAACCTGCAGGGTCACCCGGTGGCTGCTTCAGAGGGCGTTGAGGTATGTTGGTGTTGTTGTTGTTATTGTTGTTGATGTTGTCAAGACTCTAGGTTGGGTACACTCCACAGAGATTTACTGGGGGTATAGAGGTATGTTTTTGGTGTTGTTGTTGGGTAGGGTACACTCTGCCATACAGTAACTTATTCATTGGTAATAAAACCACTTTCTTTAGCGGGCATTGAGATATGTTGTTGTCGTGTTAAGTCGTGTATACACTATCATACAGCAACGGATTCACTGGAAATCTAAAACTTTCCTCAGAGGGCATTGAGGTATTTTGTTGTTATTGTTGTGGTTCAGGTCGGGTACACTCTACAGAAATAGATTCACTACTTTCCTTAGGGGACATTTATTGGAAAAATTACCACTTGCTTTAGCGAGCGTTGAGTTATGTTGCTTTTGTGGTGTTAGTGTACCCTCGGACACCATAAGTGTTACCCTACCATACAGTACCGGATTTACTGTAAGACTGACTAGCGGCTCCAAAATGTTTGTAGTTGAACCAAAGAGATAAAAACTCTTTATGATAAAATAGTCACGGACACTCGACCTTTTTTTTTAAACCAGGAGTATCTCACTTAACCTCCAACCACCCAGCTCCCTCTTAACACATACAGAAACAATCATTGTGTTATTGCCGGCATCATCGCGCTTGTCATTAAGCTGCTTATGTTTGTTGAAAGCAAATGTTGATGAATCGAGATGATCCAACTCCTCGCCCCTACCTACCCACCCCATCTTCCCCTTCGTTATCGATCTATCTCATCGCTCGCCTGTACTCATGTCCGTTTTCTAGATATCGATTTGGTTTGGGTAAAAGGTGAAAGGTCATTGGGCGAGTGACATGGTATTGTTATTGTCAATACAATATAGTGTACACAGAGGTTTAGTAGGATAGTCAAGAGATTTTGTTACTGAAGATAATCCGAGTCTTAATGCAATCATCATCTTTCTAGTGAGTCCCTTGTGGAGCATGGGAACGCAACGACATCTCTCCATTATAATCGGTTTAGGGCTATTCCTCCAAGTTGGTCCCACAACATTCCTGCTATTTCTGCTTCACTGCTTTTTAATACAATGTTATTCGAAATTTTAAAAATAATTTTAATTAAAGCGCATTAATAATTAATTTCCCTGCTCTAATGTGTACCTGACCCTCGTTAGAGAAACCAGGGTACTGGGCGAAGTGCTGACCACCACACTATCCCTTCATATACCGAGGTCTTTGAAACAAATGAACTGTACTTCATCTGCCCCATGTGTCTTGGGAATGAACAGGGAAAGATGATTAATGATAAAGTAGTCGTCTCTCAAAACATCACCTCTTGGTATTTTTCCAGACGAACCAATCAGAAGGCTTTGCCATCGTCACGTGTTTGTACGACCCCGGAAAGAGCATGACCAAGATTCAAGTTGACAACGATATGTTTCTCTGTGTTCAGGTTTGTCAAGTAAGAAAATACTAACCACATTTTTTTTTTTTACTTTTACCAGAAGCTTAACTTGATAGGATGTATTAACCACCTTTTTTGCTATCAGTGTTTCTTCCAGACTGTTTTCTCCGGGGGGGGGGGGTCCACTTGAAATTTTCGGGGGGATCGGTAGACTTTTTCGAGGGGGGGGGGACGGACGACGGACACTGTTAAAAGTATATATTTTTTATTTAAAATTTCATTTCGTTCGGGAGAGGGGGGGGGGCGGTAGATTTTCTTCGGGGGGGGGGGGGGAAATTCCCCCCCCCCCCCCCCCGAAGAGATGCCTGGAAGAAACTCTGTTTGCTATATCTACAGATCTAGTATTTTTTTTTAAATAGAAAATCTTGTTTTAATCTTAAATTATTATAAATTATGTTTTTTTTTAGTACGAATATTTTATTTGAAAAAAAAATTGTTTTCACCATTATGTTTTTAAAAGGCAAAACTTTTACGTTACACGTCTTTAACTCCGACACTCCACCCCCTCCACGGACACGCACCTCCATGAGTGTGATGCGATCTATGACCAGCCCTTGTATTACGTAATGCATGCATTTTTTTTACACGAACATAATTTCCTCAAAATAAGCTGGGGAATATTTTTAAAACAGATTCTAAAAGTTTAAACAAAACATTCTCCAGGGGTCAAAGTTCACGCTGGCTGGTACAACCGTCAAAGACCACAAACGTGTGCTGGTGGCGCGTCAGGACGACGGTCACGTGGTCGTCGTGTTCGGCAAATCAACGGAGCAGAGCTCATTCACCTCGGAGCTGAAAGAATGTCTCGTGCTCCGCGCCCAGGGTCAGCTGGTTGGCAAGCAACAACTGGAGCAACAGAGACGTCTGCTGGGGTCAGATGGTGGTGCGGACTCGCAAAGTTTAGCAGACGATCAGCAAGTTTTAGTTAGTTTAGCGTGAGGTCTGTACTCATTGTGCTAAATGTACCTGCATAAATAGTGTACTTCAGGCTGTGTGACTGGATGCAGTGGCGTAGCGAGGGGGGGGGGGTGTGCGGACTGCACCGGGTGACACCATTGGGGGGGGGGGACACCAAGGCAAAAAATAGCAAAATATATAGAGAAAATGATAATTCCACTTAATTAAGTGATTAGTTCGAGTGTTAAATAGTTTTTTTAAGAGAAAATTTGACAAATCCCGACAAGGGTGGAGAGGGGTGTAAATCGAAAGTTTGAGGGGGGGGGGGGGTGCAAATCGAAAGTTTGAGGGGGGGTGCAAATCGAAAATTAAGTGCCGCACCGCCGCACCGGGTAACACCCGACCTCGCTACGCCACTGACTGGATGGACTAGTGGTCCACTTAGCGTCAGGGTGCATTAGCGTGGGTAAATATTCTAATTGATGCTCATCAAGTGTTTGTCTATTCTGTGTGAATGAATGAACATTGCTAGATCAGACGAAAGGGTCAACAATAATCAAAAATGTTTATTTCGATGATTAGAATTCTCTAAGTTTACTACAAGGAATTTTGGACAGGCTAGCAATATTAGCGTTAAAATTTCTCTTTAACGGATGCTATTTTGTTGTATTAAAAGCTGATTTTTTAAAATGTACTATGTGTGATAGCAGAAAGTCTGACCACCAAAATGTAGGCTTTATGTGAGTTGTAGATCTTGAATGTTCACTGAATAAGAATGAGACAGATATGGGAAAAAATAAATTAATACCTGTCTAAGAATGTGCATGTTACCTATACAGAAGCGTTACCTTTGAGATGGATGGATGAGCGAGCAGGATTACCTAGACATTTAATATATAGACAATTCTAATTTTCCCAGGGACTTACTGCTATTTTTTTTAGCTCTATTGTAAATGTTCCATGATGCAGCTGACTGTAAACCAGAGGCGTAGCGACCCTTCCCGGCCCCCGGGGACAAACTTTCGATTTGCACCCACCCCTCAAACTTTCGATTTGCACCCACCCCTTAAACTTTCGATTTGCACCCACCCCTCAAACTTTCGATTTGCACCCACCCCTCGAACTTTTCATTTGCACCCCCCCCCCCCCAAACTTTCTGGCGCCCCCCCCCCCCCCCCCAAGGTCGGCGCCCGGGGACATATGCCCGCCCCCCCCCCTCGCTACGCCTCTGCTGTAAACAGACAATTAAAGTTACGTTCGGACTGTTTTGATTGACAACTAAAAAGCCCACAGAAAACGGAGTGTAACACTAAGACGTTATGTTCTCATTTTTCTAAGCTTATAGAGATTATGTATTGACATCAAGTTTTTTGAAACTGTAAATGTTCCTACAAAATTTTAACAAGAATACTAAAAATACGATTCAATTAAATTTTTTAGAAATTTATTGTAAACCTATATTTGCTTCTATCGTGATAAAAAAAATTAATTGCTTTGAATTGTTTACCAGTAACCTCATTATTTCTTTATACCAATTGGGTATCAATAACATTAACATTTTCGCAATAACTGTTTATCTGTAGCCTCAACATTTATTTTCTCATTATGTCTCATTAGCATCAACATTTCTGTTTAAACTTGAGTCTTTAATTAGCGTATGCCAGTGTTTCTGTGTAAATAAAGTATGTAAGCCGTACATGTAAATAAACGTTGTACAAATAACGACATTGTGAGATGTGCACGAATGTACTATTATGGGGAAAAAAATTCTCTTTATTTACTTGTACTAACAAGCAACTTACTGAAACAAGTAGCCTACTTTAGTTAAAGAACAAGTTTAACGAGTATCGCCAAACATGTTTCCCATCTTAGCTTTGTAAGATCAGAGTTTCTTCCAGGCATCTCTTGGGGGGGGGGGGGGGGGTAAGCCCCCCCCCCCCTGAACAAGATTTATATAGAAAACCAGTGCCCGCCCCCCCCCCCCCCCCGAAAAATGTGGACCGCCCCACCCCCAAATAGCAAGTGCCCCCCCCCCCCCCGGTGAAAAAAGTCTGAAAGAAACACTGGTGTAGATCCCAGAATATTCATGAAGTACTTAAGTTAAAGAACAAGTTTGCCAGTGTTCTGCTCACGTATGGGGTATAGTTGTGAGTGCTAACGTCGTGCGTACGTGCAGCTTACGCCTGTGAGTGCATGAACTCTGCTCTTTCGGTCGACCAAGGGGACCTGTTTCTATTCAACTAATGCGTTAAATCTACAGCATATTATCCTATTATAATATGTTGTAAACCGCACCCAGAAAAAAAGAGAATCGTGAACTTGTCAGACTTTATTGCAGGTTATAATAAAATGACTGTAAAATATCAAATATTTTGACGACAGAAACAAATAATTAGCAATGACAACCCCAACATGTATTGCACAATTATCAAGCAATTATAATATTTGCGTGATTTTGGTCTGACATTTAAGATAATTACTACAATGTGAAAGTTGGGGTATTTGTCGGAAAATTATTTTTTCCCGCTAATTAATGAATAATTAATCGACAATACAACAACTCTGGGTTCGCGAATATTTCGCAATTCTCAGCTTGACTTGAACGTTGTATGGTGGTTTAACTTGCTGTTTAATGCGTGTGTGAGTGTTTGGCCATCATTGGATTAGGAAGAAACACAATGGCTGCCTAATGTGTCTATGGTGGAATCTTTTGATTTTGTCTAATCTGACACAGGACTTGTTATTATTTCATTTTATTCATTTTTTTTTGTTTAATTTTTTTTTTGGTCCAGCTTTAGACCAAACAAGTAAAAAAAGGCAACTAATTATGTGTAAAACGTTTGTTTGACTAGGTAGTATATGCTAAATTAAGTAATTAATTGTTAAAATAGTTCAACTGTAACATTTTTTTTCAAAACTGTTTGCACTTTTCACAATGAAAATCGATCCTATTTCCTGTTCTAGTTCTGAGCATGGATTGATTTTATTTAGAAAAAAAAAAATAAACTGTTAGAGGTCATCAGAAACTATGGTCATTCGGTTAAGCTTTTAAAAACATTTTACTCCATCCACCCCCAATGGTCGCAAAAAGCCCATCTTCAACCCGACAACTTTAAACTGATAGGCCTACTTTTTTTAAAAGGAGGAATTTCCTCAAAACATCAAATACTCGTGTTCAATATTTACATTACAATTTACAAAACTAAAAATTTCAGTTTGGTGAAAAATTCTGTGTAACGTACAAGAATATGACGTCAAACTTTCTGAATCCCCACCTTTCCACGTTAAATATATCCAAAAAAGTCAGAACCCCCCCCCCCCCCACCATCTCCCCCCCCCCCCAATGAGGGTGTTATCTTTTACGGACGACCCCTTAACCACAACCCCCTCCAACATTATACAAGCATCAATTTAAACAAAAAAATAAATTCAAATAACAGAAGATAACTGCAAGTAAAAATAAATTTTAATCCAACTGCAAGTAAAAATAAATTTTAATCCCAGAATTCACATTCAGTAAAATATGCTAAAGTCGTTGCTTTGTGTGAGTACATCAATGTATACTGGAATAATGGTATTTCGTTGTACTAGTCTAAAAAGAAAAACAAAACACTTTCAATTGGAATACAATACAGAAAGATTAATGCTGACAAGAGAGGTGTGGTTAAAATACAAAGATTATAACGATAAAAACATTCATCTTTTTATTTACAAACATTATGTTATAGTGCTCTGACTTCACAAAGATATATTTGTCTATTTTATAATGACGTTATTTAAATACACCAATAATATTAATCACGGATGCTGCCTGAAACTAAAACAAGAATTGAATACAAAAACTAGGTATAGTCTGACATTGTAAAGATGTATAAATATACACGGTCCGATTCTTCACAATGAAAGATTTGAAAAGCTCTAACATAATAATATACAGTCATCAAGAAATTAAAACTTGTCAGACGAGTTTATAGGCACCCGGGGTAGCCTATGTGTTGGTGGTTAAGGGTTCTAGAGATATTTAACTAACAACATTTAAGAGAGAGTACTCAATCGAAACAAAATGAATAATTGTGATGTTTAAAATATTTAGAAATCCTGTTACGTAAGCCATCTGGTTTAATTAATAAAAATAAAAGTAATTTTTCTTTTCGGTCGTGACAGGTATTTTACCAAGTAAAAATTACTTACATGTTGGGGGGGGGGGGGGGATATCCACATGTTGAGGTTAACATGTAAATACAACAAAAAAGTCAAATACTCAGCATACAAATGGTATAAATTAAAACGGCAGTATTAGTTGGTTTTTTTTTTCAAACCAGCTCAGTAGATAAATAAATAACGATATCTATAGCTATGAAATAAGTGTCTCATCCAGTGATGAAGTGAACTGAAATAGAGGTTATGAACTAAAGATGGACGAAAGATCAATGTTATGAATATTAATATTATAATGCCTCATATGCTTGCAGAAAAGAATACTTTGAAAACGTCTTTTTTTTAGAAAAAGGAATCGTTTTATACATTGCTTCAGTTTTAGGTTAATTAATATGGAAAGAAATTATTAAACTCAATCAGGGTGACCCCACTAGGTGATGGTGCCCTTCCTCACTGGCTCCACCACCTACCGACGCCCCTACCCGCAGACACCCCAGAGTTGCCACCATCTCACCTCTCAATCCACAAGATCAGCTCCGGCCATCTGTCCCACGAGCTGAACTCTAGAACCGTGAAACTTTTACCGGCTTCTTCTCCCTCTTGCCCACTTTGCCGGATGCCGGTTGTCGGGATGAAACCTTTAGCCGACATGAACCGGATCAGGAATAAGGCCGTGGTCTCCGTGTTTTGATCGGCACGGAGCTGGAACAGCCACTCCATCAAAACAAATCGCACGTGAACCGTCTCGAAAAACTTCTGAGCACACTCCAACGCCTTGGGCTCCGAGCCCTCGATATCCATCTTGAGATAAACGCTGGGCGCTTTCACAAGGGGCAGTAAGTCGTCCAGGCATATTGTGTCGACTAGGAAAAGCCCCATGGCGTCTTTCTGCTCCTGTAGTTTTGGTGAGTCGATAGAGAGAACTTCCGAGCCTCCTATGTTTCCGTTTGGGTTGATGTAAACACTTAATCGCGAGGTTCTGTCGCTGTACATGGCGTTGTTGACGATTGTTACTAGTTGCGAGATGCTTAAAGTCTCTGAATTCGAGTTTAACTTTGAGTTATCACCCTTCTCTACATATTTTAAGGATGTTTTCGTTAATTTGCGATCAACAAACTTTGGATTCGCCGAATTATTCGAGAAATTAACATTGTGATTTGAAATATCTTTTTCGCTTTTTAAAGTGTTTGTTTGAAGCAATTTCCGGGAAACTCGTCTTTTTCTTCGTTTCGATTTCTTAAATGCCTTCTGAATTTTAACGGGAACCTCGCCATTTTGAATACCTTGTACCACAGTATTAATTTCACGTTTATCCCGGTATTCCACTTTTAATCTCCCCTTACCATTGTCTCTATGTGATGCATTTGTAAAACTACTACTGCCATTTTGAATATTTCGGTTTCTAGCGCTGTTGTTTTGTAGATTTGTGTAATTACTTTTACTCTTTTGGAGATTTCGGTAACTATTTTCACTATATTTTACATAATTGTTAGTAGATTTATTTGTTATTTTAGCGACTAGATTAGCATTAAGGACATCGTTACTTAAATACATATCCGAGGAGTTCCCTTTTACGACATAGTTTTTGTTTTCGATGTCGTTGAGCGTCAGTGTCGTCTGCAAGAGTTGGAGGTTGGCGAGCAGGGCGTCCACAGCGATGACGTGTCTGCCCATCCCCGCGGCGTACACGGTGTAGACTCCGATGTTACACCCCAGGTCAACCAACTGCATGTCGGGGTATGTCTGATAAAAATGTTAACAGAAAATGTTAACAGTTTACACAAAATATAAATGACGAAATTTTTTTACACTAGATATAAACTATAGATGGGACGGCGTGACCTAGGGGTAGAGAGCTAGAACACTAACCCGAAAGTCTCGAGTTCGAATCCGGCTTTAAATCAGTGGAATGTCCCTGAGTCCACCCAGCTCTGATGGGTACCTAACACGTTAAGGAAAGCAAAGGCGGAGTCTCTAAAACAGGTGAACTCTACTTCATCTGCCCATTGTGTCTTGGGCACGAACGGGAAAAGATGATAAATAACTATTGACATAACATTTTTTACACACCATTTTCACACATGTTTAATTAATAAATGCTTACGTTAACAAATTTAGGCTAACGCCCTATCTTAAAAATAGACCAAAAACTTTACACAAGATTTCTAAAAAAAACGTGATCGTTTATGGGCCGCTTTAAAGGTCCCTCTCCCTACACCCCACCCTTCAAATAAGGTAAGATAAAATTTTATTTTTCGAAAGACTAACTGAACTAACAAGCATTAAAAGCTGCATCTTGATAAAAAAAAAGTGGATAATTGAGGATACTGATGTCCGATAATAGACTCATTCAAAAATAGATGTGTTAGGTTGTTAGGAGTATTGTAGCCTCAACTAATTTTATGGTTAGAAATTAGGGTTAGACCTATGGTTCGACTAGGGTTGATGTTAGGTTTGGGAATAAGGACACCGTTAGTTTTTAAGCTATGTGGGTATTTTTGTTATCTATCAGTAACCTAACACCCCTTTTTTTAAGAAGATTCTATTATCGGACAGATACCTGTAAAGCCCACTCCATCTCTACCAGGCGCTCCCTCTCCCAGTGGCCCAACTTCCTCAGGGTCATCGAGATCACCGTGTCATTCTCCGGGGGGTGGATGCAAATCTTTGGTGACGTCATCTGCCGTGGTCCGTCAAAGTGGACACACTCCGGGACGTACCTCAGCCTATACGTCTTGTCATCTGACTTTTCTTTCTGCTGCGCGTAGTAATATTTACTCAACAAATGGGGCGGAAGTTTCGGGATGGTTGATGGGAGAATCTTCAACTTGGGAACTACTTCCGGGACGTGGTCGTCGATATCATGTCTGGAAAGCTTCAGGGCAGTCAACGACTGTTGTATTTCTATCTGAGATTCTTTGTATATATCAAACATCTTGGCCACCCCTCTTTGGGCTGGGTCTATGACCGTAAAACGTAAAGGTTCCGGTGTATTGCTGGACGAGTCCATTACGGAGAGGGGGGTTTCTGTTAATAAATCTGGGGAACAAGTCAGCCATGCTGGCCGTGGTAGAAACAAAGTTACCGAGCAGAGAGTCAACAAAGACAGATATATTTTTATCTGTCTTCTGTTTGAATACCGAAAAAAACATTTAACCATTCTTTTTGCTCTTTTTTTTTGGTCAATCGAGTAACAAAACTACCTTCGAAATTCGACTTCCGCATATGTTTAAAAATAAGTGTTAAACATGTCTCTTTGTTGAGTTAGAGGAATTCTTCCTCTCCTTCCATTTGCTAAAGAAGTACCAGGCTAGTTCTGGAATCGTTGAAGACATGGTAATCATCAGAGAATCATCAGGTGAGGATCACCGTCTTCCGAGTTTTTTTTTTAATATCTTGTCCATGAAGTTGCCTTTGTTTCTTATGATCGCTGTAATTGAAAAAATTGGAAGAAAAAAAATTAGCTATCCAATGAATTTTATTGATATTTGATATGGTTGACTGATAAAAATGTATTACAACAAATTCATGAAATACAATGTTTGTTGTTGGAATCTTTCGACAACCAAAAAAAAGGGGGAGGTCTTATGCTTTCACGAGCTATGCGTGTAAGCGGTTATCTTGCCTGCAAATAACTGTCGACCATAATTATTTCTACAACTAATACATACTCATGTTTACTTAATACTATACAATAGTACTTTTGAAAAACCATTTTGTAAAATGATTGATACTTTTGGTTAAGTGAAAAAGTAAAACATAAAACAGTATAAAACTGGAAGCTTTGATTATTTATGTGCATATTAACTCCACCTTATAAGTCCAACATTCATAATCACATATAATTGAACGTTACATGTAAACACAACTTAATTAACAGTTTCAAAACAAAAAGTGTGCACTTTTATGTGTCGGTTCTGTGTTTTGGAATAGTTTCTCGTGTCTTTCAGAGGACATGCGAATAGATCTGTTGTTTTACTTGGTTTGAGTTTTTAGTTGTTGTTTTTTTAATATTGTAATATTCGCCTGTGTCATTGTGTATGTATGCCTGTTTAAATACTGGAGCTATTTTACCTTTTTATCATTTTATGTCTATGTTTATGTGTGTTGATGTGTGTATGTCTCTGTGTATATGTGTATGTGTGTGTGTCCCTGTGTCTGAGCATGCTTTTATATGTGTATGTATTTAACTGTACACATTTTACTGTACCCATTTAGATGTCATTTTTTAAAAAATAAACACTTGTTGTGTAAAAACTGAACTTTGAATGATCCGTGGTATCAGATTTAGTTTCATTCAAATTATCAGTGTTATTTATTTACCTCGGCGTGCCTTAAGAGCATTTCGATCAATCTATGCAAGTCGTTTTGTGTAGTAAAGTGTACGTACGGCTATTGATAAAATATGCAGTTTATTTTTACTTGTATAATTTTACTTGACTAATCACACACAAAAAATACAATGTAAGAAAAATATCACAGAAATATGTTTGACATTCAAAGGCTGACAGTCGTCGATACTGTGTTATTGACAAACAGAGGTAATTTCCTGTGTAATTATTTTAACAGCCGTCCACATACTAGGATAATATATGCATTTATTTATTATTTTCCTCAGCGGGGGGGGGGGGGGGGGGGGGTTAGAGGGGGGAATTTCGAATATTCGAGGTATTACACATTTTTTTTTCCATTTGTTGTTTGTAAATAAACGACGTCATGTTTTAAGTCGAACTTTACCCTCTTTCCTTCATTGTCACGTGTTGTTGAGTCCAACATTCATAATCACAAATAATTGAACGTCGTAAACATACACAACGTAATTAAGTTTTCAAACAAATATTGTGGCTGTTCATATGCACTCTAATGTGTCAGTTTATTTTATTTGTTTCGGAATGTTACTGGTTCCGTTAAAATTTTACACGCTTATTTTGAAAGATGTGGTAAAGTTGTGGTAAAGTTCATTTTTCTCCCGTGGAATTGTGAGCTAGCTACAAAACAGCACCCCCCCCCTCCCCACAGCCCCCACACATCTAAAATAAAATCACAACATTCCACGACATCTCTACCTCCACCAACCCACCCCCAACAACAACCGTAATTAACATGTTTTCCTAACCCCCGGCTTTCTAGCACAGTGTGTGTACCACCACTGTTTTTGGACTAAGACTTAAAAGTAAAAACTAATTAAGTTTGAACAAACAAAATAATTTTATGCAACGTATCGGACTAGTAAACAGAAAATGATTGTAAAATGTCATAAGACTAAAAAAAAAAAAAAAAAAAAAAAAAAAAAAAAAGAAACAATTTGGAGTATGGGGTCGTCCATAAATGTCGTCACACTCTCAGGGTGGAGGGGGGGGGGGGTCCGTAATTTTGTGACGGTGTGTGACGAGGGTGGGGGGGGGGGGGGGGGTCAGAAGGTGCGACGTCACACTTTTGCATTATAAAAAAAGCAATGATAGGAAACGAACTTTAGACGTTATTTCGAGGTTTTGAAAAACTGTTTTAATAAATTGTAATAGGCATTGCTTAAAATACTCTATTTTGACAGAGTTCAGACCAGATTTTGGAAAAATATCGATGTTTTGAGAAAAATTCAACAGCAATTTTAAGGGGGGGGGGGTGGAGGGTGTAGGCTGATGTGTGACGTCATTTTAGAGGGGTCTGGCTTTTTGTGACGACGTGGGTCGAATGGAAGGGGGGAGGTAAAATTAGTCCAAAATAGGGTGACGTCATTTATGGATGACCCCTTAAAAAGAAAATCTAATTAAGTTTGAACAAACAAAATCCTTTTATGTAACGTATCGGATAGTGAAAAGAAAATGATTGTAAACTGTCATACAATGTGGTGTATAATAATGTGCTAATGGTTAATAATATATAAATAGAGTGTCGCATCTTTAATCTACGTGCGAAGTAGAATTCTAAATTTTTTAACTTGACACATTGAAAATTTAAAATGATTAAAATATCATGCAATATTTGAACTCGAAGCGAAATAAATAAACGACAACACTCAACACGGCTTGCCACAAAAGGAAAAAAAAAAGTTAAACGTACTTTAACGAAATTTCACCCAAAACATATTTTCTGGCCAAAGATGCATGGCATCAACATCCGGGTTCAACGCCTCCCTCCCGCTCATGTCAGCAGACGGCATCATGTTCTGCCTGATGAGAAACTGCGCCATTGTTCTTCCTTTCTCCGAATACCGATGAAACAATATCTCCATGAGGATCACTTTCACATCAACATACATAAAGAAATTAGACGCACAATCTAAAGCTTCCGGTTCGGATCCCTCGATATCCATTTTTAGAAAAACACTCATATTCGCCCGGACGTATGGTATCAAATCATCCAGACACACGGCATCCACTACAATTTGAGAACCGTCGATTGCAAAACGTTTATTCTCATCTGCCAAAGACGCGTTGTTCGAAACAATGTTCAATTCTTTGACTTCCGTTCCGCCTAAATTTCCGTCTCCATCTTTTAAATAAACGTACATCTTCTGTCGTCTGCTGTGGATGGCGTTGTGAAGGGTTGTGACCAGCTCAGAAAACATGGAACGGTTCTCAAACCGATGCGCCCCGATGGCCGATTTTAAAAACTCGTTGATTTCGTCGTTCTTTTTGGCCAGGTACTCGTCGTTGGTTGCTATGGACAACTGAATGAGGGCCAGATTGGACGGTAGGATGTCGACGGCTAAAGCCGGTTTGTTCAGGCTTGCTGCGAATAAGGTAAAGACGCCAACGTTGCATCCTAGGTCTACTAGCTGGGCGTTTGGATTTACCTGGAGATTAAAATAATATTAGTTCCGTTAAAGTACTTAGATATTATTTTGTTGTTGTTGATATTTTGAAAGCTGAAGTGGATTGGATCAGTGATATCCAACGGACTTCTGCCGTGAAACCAGGGATGAGAATTAAAACTTTTATGGACCGTAGGACGTCCCTGAGCTAACCCAGCTTTTACGGGTACCTGGCTGTAGGATGTCCCTGAGCTAACCCAGCTTTTACGGGTACCTGACCGTAGGATAGACCTGAGCTAACACAGCATTTATGGGTACCTGGCCATAGGATGTACCTGAGCTAACCCAGCTTTTACGGGTACCTGACCGTAGGATAGACCTGAGCTAACACAGCATTTATGGGTACCTGGCTATTGGATGTACCTGAGCTAACCCAGCTTTTATGGGTACCTGACCGTAGGATAGACCTGTGCTAACATAGCTTTTATGGGTACCTGACAATAGGATGTACCTGAGCTAGCCAAGCTCCTCGGGCAGTACATTAGTACCGTAGGATGTAGCGTCCGACCGCTAACCCAAAAGGCTTGAGTTCAGATCCCGAACTCGAGTCTGTACGACAGGTACTTGACTAACGTTAGGGAAAGTAAACGACTAGGCACAGTGCTGACTACAGTATCCCTTTATATCCCGAGGTCACTGAAACATGCAAATGTCACCTGCCCCATAGACCATTAGGTTCAAAAGGGTACCTTTTGACGATATGACGCCGCTGAGCTAACACAGCTTTTATAGGTACCTGACCGAAGGTCGTCCCTTTGTCAACCCAGCTCTAATGAGTAAACCTTCCTGGCTAGAACTGAGGTAAGTAAAGGCGACAGGGCATAATGTTGTCCACATAATACACTCATACACCGATAACATAGAAATTAATAAACGCTACTTCTTCTGCCCTATAGATAAACTCTACTTCCTTTTTCATAAAGACTGCCAGGTCTAAAAGGAAACTTAATTGAGGACAGACGCGGCACTTTAATTATTCTCGCAACTACGAGTGATATGCTGGGAAGCGAGTATGGCATCAAAACCGAACCGCTTATTAACAAAATGGTGTCATACAAACACAATGGGGGCTGTTAGCTGGCTGTGTCTTAAGGGGGAAGGGATATTATCTTTTTCCAGGTTAGTATGGAACTTGTCAATTACCCCGAACTACAGATTCGTGTAGAAAATAATCAACCCTAAATCCGACACTTCTTATAATCAAAACTATCCGTCATAAATGTCAGAAATGGGACGGCGTGGCCTAAGTGGTAGTGCGCTAGGCTGCTAACCCGAAAGTCTCGAGTTCGAATTTGGGTCTAAGTCAGTAGAACGTCCCTGAGTCCACTCAGCTCTGATGGGTACATATCTCAGGTTGGGGAAAGTTAAGGCGGCTGGATAACGTGCTGACCACACTTTCCTTTTATATGTAGAGGTCAATAAACATGAACTCTACTCCATCTGCCCAATGGATAGCTAGATACACTGTCTATATGGGATTCTTTACTCTACTTACTTTATATATGTAGGAAAGCTAGTTGGCAAAAACAATCAATAGATACGCTTGTTTTGAAGAAAAAAAATATTTTAAAAATCGCGAGACAAGCAATACTTACAGTAAAAAAATCAGCCAACTGGAAGACAAAATCATATTCCCATTCGCCAAAGTCCCGTAACCTATTAGAGATGAAGTTATCGTCCTTTGGGTAGTGAACACATATTTTGGTCGGTGTGGCGTCTGGGGAAACCTTCATCCTAACACAATCTGGCAACTTTTGCTTGCTCCTCAGTTTCTCAAGACTAAATCGCCCGTTGTATTTAGACTTGCCTGAAGTTGTCCAGATTTTTCGATGCGGCGTGTTTAACCAAGTCCGACCAAAATTAGAAAAATTAAAATTTAATAGTTTAAAAACATGAACACCGGAATTTCCCGAATTGTCTGATAAAGCTGAATGAACTCGATTTTCGTTTTCTTTGGTGTAAATTTGAAACATAGCACCAACTCTGGCTAACTCCGGGTCGATATAATTCACAGACGACACATTCCTAAACCGAACAGCATCACCCATCACTTTCGGGTATCCGTCACGTTCCATATTTACAGCGCAAATCCAACTCGGTTTGGGTAAAAAGTGTACCACCACTAACACAAATGTTAACAGAATCAACGTAGAGAACCCGGATCGAATCCATTCCACTCCACTGTAAGACATCCTCATGGCAATAAGTCTTCTATGTCAAAAATAAGATTACATAACCTATGCTTAATAGATACAAATAATTACAGCCTATAGATATATATCCATTTCAAATATATTCCATTAAAAAGCTTGGCATCATGATAGTTTAATTACCTTTTTATATAAAAATATTAATTTGGCCCGCTATCCGAAAAGTACACATATTTGTATATATTATTTTACCTGGCATACTCTGTTGTATTACGCAGTGGTATAAAAATAGTTATTTGACTGTTCTTAGTTTTTAAAATAGCAATTGACCTTGGCGTTTGTTGTGATTAGGGGAATAATGTGTAGAGTTGAAGGTATGGAAGGGGTGGGGCCATTGGCGTGACAGATCAGCCGGGGGGGGGGGGGGGGGCAGTGGCCATAAAAAAAACAGGAGCCCTGTCCAAGGGGCGTTTGCAGTTTGTTGAATGCCTCTGGTCGGATGGTCTGTTATGTGTTACGCCACTGTTCGGGGACTGTGGAATCTCGGAGGCCGGTAGACTTTGTCCACCTTGGTTTACTTGGTTGTTACGCCACTGTATGGGTCTGTGAGGGTTAGGCGTATGTGTGAGGGTCAAGTAAGATTAGGTGTAGGGGGGGGGGGGGTAGTAAGAGATTTGCAGTCAGGTGTGTGGGGGTGAGCCAGATGTGTGGGGTGAGCAAGATGTGTGGGGTGAGACATGTGTGGAAGGAGCCAGGTGTGTGGGGTAAGCCAGGTGTGTGGGGTGAGCAAGATGTGTGGGGTGAGACATGTGTGGAAGGAGCCAGGTGTGTGGGGTAAGCCAGGTGTGTGGGGTGAACCAGGTGTGTGTGGTGAGCCGGGTGTTTGTGGTGAGCCAGGTGTGTGGGGTGAACCAGGTGTGTGGGGTGAGCCGGGTGTTTGTGGTGAGCTAGGTGTGTGGGGTGAGCCAGGTGTGTGGGGTGAGACATGTGTGGAAGGAGCCAGGTGTGTGGGGTAAGCCAGGTGTGTGGGGTGAGACATATGTGTGGGGTGAGCCAGGTGTGTGGGGTGAGACATGTGTGTGGGGTAAGCTAGGTGTATGGGATGAGCCAGGTGTGTGGGGTGAGACATATGTGTGGGGTGAGCCAGGTGTGTGGGGTGAGCCAGGTGTGTGGGGTGAGACATGTTTGTGGGTGAGCCAGGTGTGTGGGGTGAGCCAGGTGTGTGGGGTGAGCTAGGTGTGTGGGGTGAGCCAGGTGTGTGGGGTGAGCCAGGTGTGTGGGGTGAGCCAGGTGTGTGGGGTGAGCTAGGTGTGTGGGGTGAGCCAGGTGTGTGGAGTGAGCCAGGTGTGTGGGATAATCCAGGTGTGTGGAAACTTGTATGTTAAGAACTGTCGGGTGTACGAGAGTCAGTTGTGTGGAAACTAGAGAGTCGGGCATAATAAGTTGTGTGTATGTGTGGGTAACTGTCACAAGTGTGGGGTCAGGGTGTGTGGAAAGATCTCTATAATAGTCTATAACTTTACAGTAATTGAAAAAATATTTGTTTTAAATTACAGTATTCTTAAAGGTTATTAAACAAAAGCATTAGTAATTAATATTAGTTAAGTTAAAAAAAGACAACTTTTCTTTAATACTCGAGAGGTTGTCCATTAATGACGTCACACTTCTATGTGGAAATGTGAAACGGTTCGGAAATTTCGGCAATGCATGCAGAGTTTCTTCCAGGTATCTAGGGGGTGACATCACACTTCTGAATATTTTACTATTAAATTTCAAAATTGAATATTCGTATCTAATTTGCAGTTTTTAATTATTTTTTATTTATAATAACAACGGGTCCATAAATGGGGGGGGGGGGGGCTGAAAAATGATAAAGCGCATTGTCATTTATGGACGATACCCTCTCCTCCTTGTTAGGTTTAAGTGTGAACGTTAGGCGTGAGACGTTTCGGCTATCTATATTTTGTAGGCTGGCTACTTTAAAGAAAACTACTTCTGAGAGGCCTACGATATGAAAGTTGATAAGGTGATAAGCAGTAAGAAACTAGTAAGAAAAATAAATTTATTAATATAAAAAAACATACGCTATTATATATATATGTCGTTGGTGACATCATGTGATATTGATAAAGGTAAGGTTAAATATGGTTCTATGGTGAACGTATATATATATATATATATATATATATATATATATATATATATATATATATATATATATATATATATATATATATATATATATATATATTATATAGGTAAGCTAATACTAGAATCTCTACACTCACCGACGATATGTTTTACTCATGCAAGACATTAAGTCCACTCAAGATTTATTTTAATAGACATACTGTTACTGCTAAGCACACCACATCATGACGGCATAGTAAAGTCGTAAAGTGTCAACGAGTGCTAATCAAGAGGAAAAACAACGCAAAATTTTAAGAGAAGATACGAAACAATTCAAACTGCCAGATGGCAAACTTAGCACACACGAATCGAAATCTTGAACGTTTATTTTCTATCGTTGTGTGTCAGGTATGCGTTTGAATCCGGTTTAAAGGTTGCCGTGTTAAGGCAAGCGGAGGTAAGGTAGTGTCAATGTATAGGCTAGCACACCGCGGCATTGACCTACTTTCCGCTATCGTGCGACAAGGTGACCGTCGTTACCTGGTTGTGTATGGTTTAAGTGTAAGTGATGGGAACATAAATACTAAATTGCATACAAATTATAGCAATACAATGTCGGTCTATATATCGTCCAGTTCTCAGAATAAATAAGATTCTAAACAATAATTGACAATATTCAATATGGGGTAGGACCTACACTATGGGCTCTATAACTACGATCCTATACAATATTTCCACAAAATAAAATTATAAGTTATTATGTTAAGAAACTATCCTAAGTTTAAAAAAATTGTAACAAAGTTATTTGAATTTTACAAAGTTGGAGGTATTTTTTTCAAAATAAATGTTACAAATTTTAACATTTCTGCAAATGTTAAAATACAGAAAAGAACATTTTTTATTTTATTTTGGAAATATTTTATCAACTAAAGATAGGCTACATAGGCCTACTTGAATTATCTAATTTTTTACTGTGGTTTAAATGGAACAATTCTCATTTGGAAAAAAAATTGGTCATTTGTTATTTAAGAAATCATGTCCATTAGACTATATATATTAGACTTAAATATAGTAGGGCCTATTTATTAAAAATATTTGGTTAGCTATTTTGGCTTATTGTAAATTATAATTCGTTTTGGTGGCAACTCAGAATTTGTTATTGTTTGGCTGGTTGTCAAGCGCACAAGCATGGCCAAACGTGTTTTTTAGGCTTATCTGATGCCGAAGCGGAATGACACATTCATTAAAAGATAAAGGAGAATAAACTTATGTTGGCAATTTAAATACAAATGTGCTACTTGTGTTGATTGTTCATCTTAATCAACAGTTTGTTTTAAAATAAAGTAGGCCTATAATTTAATTGTTTTTAATTTTTAACCTAAAAAAAAAAAAAAACTACACATACTCACTCAGTCATACTCAAAAACTCAAAACTCAACTCAAATACTTGACAAATAATAGTCACTAGTGCAATACATAGAGGCCTACTCTAACACACTAGAATCTAACTAAACTTTAAAAAAAATAGTTTCTAACTAGTTAACTCGAACTAACTGAACCAACTTTTTATTTGCTTCAACCTTACTGTGGTTTTTCTAAACATTCACTAGATCTAGAGATCTAATCTAAGTAAAATTAATTTAGTAAAATCATAAAAATGTCTACTCAAACTACATATTCCCCAAGTACATTCGTAGATCTTAACTTAAACCATACACAGACATTAAACAGTGAAGATAATTATAGTAAGCAAGTAAACTTGGACAACCCATTTGACATTGTTGAAAAAGATAGACACCAGCTGGAGGATGTTAATTTGTTATCAATTTCACGTGGAGAACGTCCGGAGGCAGATATTAATTGGGCCAGGCTTAAAAGCTTATATGTTTTTGATGAAGATGGGAATAAAATTAAGTTCACAGACATATACAGCGAGCAAAAAACTATTGTGATATTAATAAGGGTGAGTGACAGAATGCATTGTATTCATAATTACTTCGACTTTGGTCTGTTTCACTTATTGCAATTTTTTTTCTATTAAATTTTATTCATCACATCATAGGGGTCATCCATAAATGGCGTCATGCTTCTTTAAATGATTAAATAATTTTACCTCCCCCTTCCCTTCCATCACACATCTTTTTAAAAAAAGGTAGCCCCCCCCCCCCCTCAACTTCAGCCTACTGTAATAGATTGAAATAATTGTGAGGTCAAGGGAACTCACTCTCTGTATTAGTATTATATTTATATTGTTATCTTGAGTGATGTCCCTTACATGTTGTTATCTATATATAGTGGTCTCTGGCCACTTGCTCCTCTCTTCCTCTCTTTGCAACATGGCGTCTGTACATAATAAAGACTGTTAACAACCAACGCGGCTTCTCGTCAGTCATTACAATCCACGTCATTTGGCGACGAAGGATAAACATCTACTAGAAAGAGCACCTACTTACGCAAAAAAGAGGTTTGCTAGAGCTTATTAGCTAATTATTTCTAGAATTATGGCGCTGTATGGCCAAATAAAACAATTTGATGCGAATGATGAAATCATTCAAGATTACCTAGAGAGGTTAAGCTTTTACCTAGAAGCTAACGACGTGACGATAGAAGCCAAAAAGAGAGCTGTTTTGTTAACAGTCATAGGGCCTCAACAATTCAGGCTACTAAAGGACTTATGCGCACCAGCTAGTCCAGATACCAAGAGCTTTAACGAGCTGAGCAAATTGCTAACAGACCACCATGCGCCTACCCCATCAAAGTTTTTATGTAGAGCTAGATTTGACAGTAGGACTCGTCAACCAAACGAGTCAATAACAGAATATGTTGCTGCTTTACGTCATTTAAGTAGATTTTGTGAATTCGGAGACACGCTGTCTGACAGATTATGTGAAAAGTTTGTGACAGGTGTAAACAGCCCTGATATTCAAAGAAAGTTGCTGCTCGAGTCAGATCTAAAATTGGAAAAAGCAATACAACTTGCAATGTCATTCCAGCAGTCATCAGATGCGGCGAGATCTTTAGCACCTTCAGAGATCCATGCAGTAAACAGCAGGTTAGTCAATAAACATCAACCCCATCAGAGCATTTCAACTTATGCTAAACAGCCTGCTCGTTCAAATCCTAGATCTAAATCTAGTAATAATTATCAAAAATGTCATCGATGCAAAGGTCCCCATGCATCTCATCGGTGCAAGTTCAAGTCTGCAACTTGTTATAAGTGCGGTAAGCAAGGTCACATTGCCAAGGCCTGCTTTGCAAAGTCTTCGTCTGTTGCTAAATCTAGCCAGTCAAGACAGTACCGCAACCAAAAGCAGCACTATGTTAACTCTCACCAAGACTACCTAACCCAACCAATGAACCACTCTACCTGTGAAAATGCTCAAATTGATTTGCAGCCGGATTTCAACCTGTTCTCTGTTAAATCAATAAGTCATGCTCCCATCAATGTACAAGTTAATATCAACGGTAAGAGCATCAGCTTCCAACTTGACACTGGAGCATCTCTAACAGTCATAACAAAGAAAGATTTTGACGCTGTCACAGGAGGATCAGTGCCTCTACAGCCATGTCACAAGTGTTTAACAACATACACTGGTGACAATGTTCCGGTAATAGGAGAGTGTATGGTTCATGTAAGTTATAATGGTCAAAGTGTTAAACTTCCTCTTCTTGTGGTTGAAGGAAATGGACCGCCATTACTAGGTAGGAACTGGTTAAGTGATCTTAAGTTAAATTGGGAGAGTATTTGTTCATTGAAGAATGTAAAAGAATCTAGTCTTACTTCACTAGATAAAGTTATATCTGAAAATAAATGTGTTTTTGGTAACTCTGGATTACTAAATGATAGAACAGTGAAGTTAAGCATTAAAGATACAAATCCAAGATACTGCAAAGCTAGAGTTCCACCTTATGCAATGAGGAATAAAATTGAAAATGAGCTAAGTAGATTGGAATCTAATGGCATTATAAAGAAGGTAGACTATTCCGATTGGGCAACGCCCATTGTGCCAGTGTTAAAGAAGGATGGTTCTATAAGAATTTGTGGAGATTATAAAACTACACTGAATAAGCAAATAGAGCTAAATAGGTACCCTATACCTAACATTGAGGAAATCTCTTTGAATTTGGCAGGAGGAGACAAATTCACTGAATTAGACTTTAGTCATGCTTACACTCAACTAGAACTGCATCCAGATTCAAAAGTCTATACGACAATAAACACACATAAAGGACTCTACCAATATGAAAGACTATGTTTTGGCATATCATCTAGCCCTGGAATTTTCCAAGCTGTCATGAACAGTATTTTTAAGGACATTCCAAATGTTTGTGTGTACTTTGACAATGTGTACATAACTGGTAAGAATGACACTGAACATCTTAAAACACTTGATAAAGTATTGAAAATTGTTGGTGAAAAAGGTTTAAAGATAAACAAAGATAAATGTCAATTCATGCTGACAGAAATTAGTTTTCTTGGTTATATATTAAGCAAACAAGGCATCAGACCTCAACCTGAGAAAACAAAAGCCATTAAAGAAGCACCCAAACCTGAAAATACCCAACAACTAAGAGCTTTTTTGGGCTTGATAAATTACTATGCAAAGTTCATAGGAAATCTGTCTGGTAAACTATCACCACTGTACAAGCTGCTACAGAAAAATGCAACTTGGCACTGGGGTAAACAACAAGAAGCTGCTTTTAATACAGCAAAAGAGGCTTTGTCTGCTGACACCTTACTAACTCACTATGACCCAGGGAAAAGACTTATATTAACATGTGATGCTTCACCAGATGGTGTAGGAGCAGTCTTGTCCCACATGGATGAGAAGGGTGACAGACCCATTGCTTTTGCCAGTAGATCTTTGAACCAGGCTGAGAAAAATTATTCTCAGTTAGATAGGGAAGGCTTAGGCATCATTTTTGGTGTTAAGAAATTTCATAAGTTTCTGTTTGGTAGGAAGTTCACCATCTTTACAGATCATAAACCATTGCTAGGTTTATTTGGAGAAAACAAAACCCTACCTGAGCATGCCTCACCAAGAATTCAAAGATGGGCTATCACACTAACTGCATACAATTATGAATTGAAATACAAACCTGGATCTGAGAATAGTGCAGATAGTCTTAGTAGATTACCTTTAAAAAACCAAAGCCTGAGCTATGTACCAGAAGATGTATTTGTTCTCTTCACTATCATGGATAACTCCAATATAAATGTGAATGATATTAAGAGAGAAACACAAAAAGATGAGTGCTTAATAAAAGTATATGAGTACTGTAAGAATGGTTGGCCTGAAGAGTCAGTGAATGAGGACTTAAAGCCATATAAAATAAGAAATAAAAACCTTTGTGAAGATAATATAAAAGATGGAGAAGATGCAGTCCATTATCAGTCAGAGCTACCTAAACAAAGTATTTGTAACTTAATAAATGATTATGGTGATATGGCAATTTCAAATGCTTTAAGTAAGAAGGAATGTGATCATAAAACAACTTTGCTAACATCATTAGCACTTACAGAAACTAAAAGGGTAACATCAAAAGAAAAGAGCAAAGATTTTTGCCATTGAATACACCCACTTCAAATACTGGATCACAGTTGCAAAGTGATATGGTCCAGAATATTACTTTTAAACAGTATTTTTGGTTACCAGGAAAGCACTATCAGATTACCTGAGAAAATTGATCAATCAAAGAAATCTATGTCAATTAAGGATCTGAATAACAGCATAATACTTTCAGATGCCAATTCAAAAATAGTTCCATTAAATCATGACAAGACATTCATTGAAAGAGAATTTGGTGTTAATGAGAATGTGTATCTAAGAAACTATGGGAGAAGGGAAAAATGGATACCAGGTCAAATTGTTCAATGTACAGGACCTGTGCCTTATAAAGTTAAAAATAACTTGTGCAGATAATAAGTGTGAATCTGTCAATCCCACCAAGTCTGATCAGTTCACACCAACTCAGTTTGTTCCACAACCAAGTTCTGTTGATATGAGTGAATCAAGTTGTCTAGAGTCAGAAAATGTAAATTCTGGAGTTAATGATTTAAATCCTAGACCTCCTGAGATAGAGAATCCAGATGGTCAGAATCTTGAGTCACCAAATCAGAAGCCACTGAGAAGGTCAAGCAGGACAATCAAAGTCCCAAATAAGTTAGACCTATGATTCTAAAGGTCAAAAAGACTTTGACATTATTGTTTTGTATTTTGATTATGTTGTGGCATATTGTGCATTGTTTGTAAGGATGTAATCTACCATAATGTTCATGTTACAATATAATTGGTGATTTTAGGATACTATCAATTGTTCTATTGAGAGATGTGTTATTGTGTTCTAAGGGTAAAGGGATGTAATAGATTGAAATAATTGTGAGGTCAAGGGAACTCACTCTCTGTATTAGTATTATATTTATATTGTTATCTTGAGTGATGTCCCTTACATGTTGTTATCTATATATAGTGGTCTCTGGCCACTTGCTCCTCTCTTCCTCTCTTTGCAACATGGCGTCTGTACATAATAAAGACTGTTAACAACCAACGCGGCTTCTCGTCAGTCATTACAATCCACGTCACCTACAACAGAGTATTTTCTTCAATTTCTATTACAGTGTATTAAAGCACTTTTCTAAAATACAAAATCATGCTAAAATTCAATATCTGACATTATTTTTTTAAAAGTACGATGACACACTAACTGACCTCTACCTTTCCCTGATCACACATGACAAAATTTCAACCCCCTCTCCCTATTTATGGATGACTCCATAGCGCTGTTTTGATAACTCATTGGATAATTTATATTTAATAAATCTAAACAGGTCATTAAATGTTAGTAACTCTTTTGAGTGGTCATGGGGCAGATAAAGTAGAGTTCATCTGTTTGTCACCTCTGCGCATGAAGAAATAGAGTGGTCAGAGATTTGCCAAGCTGCCTTTATTTCTCCTAGCATGTGTCAGTGACGACCTATAAACTCAAGCCAGAGATCTCAGATCAAGACCATGCCACCCCCATTTTTGAAATTTTAGCAAAATATTAATTAATATAAGTTTGTTCTCTAAATATTTTTTTTTACCATGCAATAATTTTTTTCTTTTTTTTTTTTAGCATTTTTTAGATTTTATAACCAAGGAATATGTTGAAGGTGAGTAATGGAACGTGTACAATGTATTTTTAGTTTTAGAATTTTGTATGTTCTTAAAACTAAATGGTGAATATATTTGTTGAAATTTCAAATCAAGGGAAAAGATTAGCTAAACCTAACTGCTAAATGTCTTCTACAAATTTGTTATAATAATATTATTCAGTTGTCACTTGGTGAAAAAAATAATAAAATAATAAACTAGCTACAGTGGAGTCACTAGGCCAGGTGTCAGTATTTCCAGTAACAGCTGATAATGTCACAACCCCCCCCCCCCCCTCCTACCCCCACAATATTATATTTTCTATTTTTGCTGTGGTGTCAACCCTCTCCCCCTTACTATTTTATTATTTTAACTTGGTAAACATTTCTTTACCTGTAAAGTTGACAATTTTTTTTAGTTTGGTTTCAGCCCTTAACTGGTATTGCCCAGGGGTACAACTGGCTAATTAAAATATAAATGAATTTAGGAATATAGTGTTGATGACAAGAATAAATAATCCTTTTACAAGTAGATTATGTGATTCAGAAAGTCAAAATCTTATCTGCAGTTGTCTTCTTCCAGTAAACCGTTTGGGAGGGGAAATATATGTGTGTGTGTGTGGGGGCGGGGGGGGGGGGGGGTGAAGTTGTGTAATTGATTTGTAAGATAAGTGATTTAAGTTGTTTCAGCTATCATTTTAAAAACAAAATTTATTATTGCATTTTTAATAAGTAGACCAAAATAATAATGACATTATACTATTGTTAAAGTTTTCTTGATTATACTTTGAGCTTCTTTGTAAAGATTTTATTATTAAAAAAGTAAATGCTTTATTTATGTATTTCACAGACATTGCGCTGATTCCATTAGAATATCTTCAGGTAAGCAGTGCATGTTTTTACTAACTTGACTATTGCACTATTCAATGGGTGCTTTTTATTCCACAACTTGAAGTAAACAAAAAGTGAACAATAAGATAAACAGTAATGAGTTAATTATAAATTTTATTTCATTTAATTAATAGTCTAATGGGACAAAAATATTTGTTTTATTTCAGAGAGCAAATGTAAATCTTGTGGTCATAGGTCCAGCACCACACAAGTTTATCAAGGTTTGAATAACACCTTTATTCTATGTCCCACTATGTAATAATACACCTACATAATTCAATGCTAATATAGGGGAAGTAATTACTTTTGATTGACCAAGTTATATCTTGTATAATTTGCTGGGTTCTTTCCCTTTAATTTATTAAGGTGCATTTATTGACAAATAATGGGATTTTAAAAACCAAGTGTGTCGAATTTCCTTCATATTTTAAAAAATGTACAATTAATATTCTGTATCATTAAAGTTTCAAGTATAATAAATTATAACTCTTTAATCATCCACAGTCCTTTAAAAGTCTAACTGGACTCTCACACAGATTGTATGTGGACCCTGACAGAGAAGTTTACAAAGCACTGAGCTGCACTGATAAGTTGATAACTGGATCTTTAGAAAGTAAGTGTAAAAAAAAACTTTATTTAGCAATTTATGAACCTGCCTTGTGCTTACAGTTCATCTTGGAACATATAATGTCTATCTTTCATACTACACCAGGGGTTCCCAACCCTGTGCCCTCGGGCGCCATGGTGCCCTCTTAACGATTCGTATGTGTCCGCCTCTCACTATTCGACAGAGACAGAATTTTTTTCATAAACATTATTTTAAAATATGATTTATTTTATTCATTTCTTACATTTAAAAATTTTTTTTAACTGCCTAGGTTTATTAAATATGTTCGATACTTGTCCCAACTTGCGAGCCAGACTGCACTATTTACGTTTTGTAAATATATTTCTCTGTGTGTATGCAATTCGAAAAAAATGCCAAATAATTTTATTATTTTGAAACATTTTTGTTTATTATTTATTAATACATTATGACTACAAGAAAATAAGAAAATAAATTATGGGAAAATGACAAGTTATGGAAGGAGTTTGTCGATTTAAAATAGGTGGTGCCTGCCCCCCTACCGATATTTTAGAATGTGCTCTAAAGTAAAAAGGTTGGGAACCCCTGTACTATACCAATAATAGGACTATTATTTTTAATTTTAAAATTTTGTAAATTGCTGTTTCACCCCAATAGTTTTTTTTTTTAAATTTATAAATAAAACGTAAGATATAATTAGTTTGTTTGACTTTTTGAAGAACAATATGCATTATGATTTTTATCCTCATGTTAAGTCTTTACAAAAGCAAAAATTATATTTTGACACTAGCTCATACAAACCTAAGGGACCTTGTTAGGTATAAATGAATTAAATAATCAAATTTAGTGCTTGTTTTGTGTAAAAAGTATGTATATTTTTAGTGAAATTAAACCCCTTAACACTTAATTAATTACGAGCTAATATACTAATATTTAATATTGTCTTATAAAAATTTATTATTTGTAATGTTCAAAATGTAATATGACAAATTATAAATTTATTTTAGAAAGCAAGCACATAAAATCTGGGTTTTTCTCTGGAATGTTGAGTAGTGTGTGGAGGGCTATGACAGCACAGAGTAAACAGTTCCAAGGGGACGTCACCCAGCAGGGTGGCACATATTTACTTGGTCCAGGTATAATTCAGCCATTTTTTTTTTTTGTAAAATAGAGGTTGAAATCTGAGTAGTTTCTTCGAGAAAAGTTCTAAAATTTTCACTGAAAAATTTATTCTAATTAAAAAATAAATCAAAACATGTGTACATATGTTTTTATCCACACCCAAGATAAATTTATAAAAAAGATATTTTCTAATTGAAAAAACTCATTATATTTGCAGTTTTTCATTTAAGGTGATTATGTAAATTTCTTTCTTATCAGGGGACGTGTGCCATTTCAGTCACATTGATCAAAACTCAGCTGACCATTGCTCTCTTAATGAAATACTCACTCAAGCCAATGTGACCAATGTGAGTTTTCCTAAAGACCCCAGGGTTCTAACAATATAACTACTCATCATCATCCAACTTTAAGCTTTTCATTCAGACGTAATACTTCAACTTTAGGAGTAATGTCAGTTATATTATAAGAAATAATAAAAATACTAGTGCCATTATTCATTTGTTACATTTGAGTGTATTAAATGCTTTTTAAGCATGCTATTTCATTATGTACATTATCTTTTTAAATTGTGATAATAAAATAAGTTATTAAATATTTCTTGGTGTTTTTTTAAATGCAGTAAACACTCCGAATGCTTTGAAAAATTTAATGAACTATCCATGTCAACACAAATTTCCTATCACAGAGTGAAGATTGATCCACTGAAAAGTTATCATCTATTATACAATGCTTCTTGTTTTGTTAATAAAGTTAACAGCACATTTTACCTTCAAAGTAAGGGGTCAACAATTTTTTAACCCTTCTTCATTGCTCAAGTGATAATCAATATTTTTAAAATTTCCTATCTTCAGTGAGAGTTGTTTAGTTTTTACTACCAGCTTTCATTTGAAGCAAATGAATTGAAATTATTTAAAAATACTTATGTGTTATTGTCAGTACTGGGGGAGAATTTTTATACCAGTGTCCGATAATAGAATCTTCTTTAAAAAGGGGGTGTTAGGTTACTGGTAGTTAACTAAAAACACACATTGCTGGCTAATGTTATTGCTAACCTGTCCCTAACCCCAACCTTAGTACTACCATACACCTAACTCTAATTTCTAACCATAAAATTAGTTGAGATTATAATACTACTGAGTACTAACAACCCAACACACCTATTTTATGGAAGAGTCCATTATCGGACATCAGTATCTAAAATCATCCGGTGATTGTTTCCTCCTTTAAGAGCAAGAGCATACTCATAATGGTACCAAAGTATCCACTCAGCAAGTTGACTCAGACTATATGAACGCTGTAGGAAGAGTATTTTTTTAATCCCTAGAGTTGGTATTGCAGTGTGTTACTTACAGCAAAGCTTGGTCACGTGTGAACTGGATTAAAGTTCTGCATACTGCAACTAATTTTATAAAAATGCATTGTGCAGGCTGAATATTGTGAGATAGTGAATTAGCAAAACCCTCTTGTTCAATGTAGGTCAGATCTTGAAAGATGACATCTCAAGTTTTGACATTACGAGAGAGTAAAAACCTGAACATTATATATATATTACTGTGTTTATACAAACTGATATTTCGCTTAATGTTTTTTTTCAAGACTTATTTCCACTAACCACAGTTAAATGGTTGAAAAACTTCAGCATCTGTTGATAAATAGGCCTAATTGTGGGTTAAAATTTTAGGTTATCTAAGGCAACATTGATACCAGAAGAAAATTAACTTTCATCAATAACTTTATTTTCATATTTTTTTTTACAATGCATTACCACAAAAAAAAACCATTTGATTAAATAACGTTCAGATTAAATCACACCATCTAGCATGTAACCTTACTAAATATGTACACAATTATCCCAGTTTTTTTACACCCACTCGTACAGTTTTTTAAACATTCAATCTTCATTTTATTATGTACATATATATATTTAGAACAAAAATGGAATAATTTAAACATTGAACGGGAAACACTTGTTAACATATAGACAGCTTCAATACAATACATATACAGAGTTTCATCAGAAATTGTGGGTGGGGAGAAAATGCATTGATTTCAATGGCTGGATCAAAAATTGGATAAATTAAACAGAACAGTGGGTTAGGTTATAAAAGAAACAGATTCCCAACATGGGAAATAACATTTGCTTAAAAAAATATTCAAGCAAACAATGAGATTTAATGTACTACATTCACCAGTTTTAATTTTTTCAACAAAGATTAACTTGAAGCTTTAAAGCAACACACTTATGCACACTGATAAATTACATTCATAATTACTTGCTTAAGTTCAGAAGCATACCATTATTTTTTTTTAACCCTTAACTTAATTGTTAAATTACACTTAGAGATTCTTTTGCACAAATTGATTTCATAACAAAATTGTTAGTAATAATATAAGGAATATGCAAGCCAAAACTTTTAACATTGCTATGAAAAATGTTAATTCAAAAAAGAGGAATGCGCAAAATTAAAGGTTAAAATTTTAAATTTTAATCATACCACAAAAAATTAATATACCCTGCTCTACACAGAAACTAGGCAAGCCAATAATTTAACAACCATTCTTGTACAAAAAAATTATATATTGGCACTGAAGTATTGGGAGTGTGTACATAAACCAATATCAAATCTCAAAAAACAAAGTTAAATACTGAAGAAAAAACTATTCAAAAGGTTTATTTTATAACAAAAAAAAATCACTGGTACCGTTAATTAGAAAACAAAACATGTATTTAAATAACTAATTTTACAATTATAATTTTATACATCTATTTTTACAATGGAATTACAGGGAATAAAAATGACTGGTATAGATTAAAAATGCTTGGTTATCTCAAATTCAGTAAAATTTCAGATTCTATAAAGAATAACTCCCAAAAAGTCTTAGTAAATACACTTTTTCATATTACTAAGGAAAAAATATTCAGCAAGTAGTTCAAACCATGATTTACGGTTGAAGTCTGTTTATAAGAAATGAAAATCCTCAAGCCAACAAAGAAGAACTGAAAAGTTGTGAAGTGCTACATGTACTCTCATATGCCAGAGGCTGGAAAATGTTTGGAATGCTTGGTGCAGGTTTGACAAGATAACAGATCTGGATAGATACAGCCTCCCAAGAGTTCCTGGTACTACCAACAAAGCCTAGAAACTAAGGAAATACAACTTCGCAGCCTTAGAAGGTAAACTAAACAAAATGTAACTATCAGTCAGTTATAAATGATTAGTAAGGAGAGATAAACTTACCTAAACAAAAGAAAAGTTTACTCAGATCCATTAATTTCAGGAAAAATTTAAATGAATTATGGCACACTTTATACACAATTGAAATGGCTAACCTGCCATACAATCTGACAAAGATAAATTTAGAACCTTTAAGGATTTGTAGATATGTATTGAGTATTTGTTTAGCTCACCAGATAAGTTTTTTTTCTGTCTGTTGTAGCACACATTACGATAACAAAAAAATCACAGCCAGATATCAACCTATGCAACACCTGCTCTTCATATTGCATATCATAAGATAATTACAGAAATTAACAACATACTTTACAGAAAAAAAAACTAAATTTTGGTTTTTATAGGAGAGTTCATTATAGTTTCACTTCAATCAGTCCATCATTTGGTGTATCCGGACAGATTGGTCTTTGGTGCCTTGAGTGTGAAGCGCCATTCTAAGCACTGTTATCTAATATTCATTGATGCTGGGCTTTCTGTAACCATGCATTGACTAGATAACCACTGTTAATTCCAATCGTGAGGTGGGAGTAGTTTCCCCTTTTTGGGTTGATAAGCGAGTTGAATCAGTTGTGAACAGTGAGAAGGCACGATATTGCAAATACACTGAGCGGCTTCTTGAGCTTTGTAACAGCAACTGCAGTTGTGAGGAACACAGAGGCTTGCTGGTTGAATTATGAGAGATGAACTGGTGGACGTAAAGATCGGCATTTGATACAGCCCAGGCAAATTATTCTGTGCTTGCTGTTATAACATTCTACACTTGAATTTTTTTTACCACCGCTGATGTATTTTAAATTTCTTTCAAACAAAATTTCATAATGATAATTTAAGGTTATTTTTGGAGGTTTTAGAGTTCCATGAATAAAATGTGTAGAATGTGTTGTTACAATTTAGAAGCTCGGCTGTATTATTTCTTTGTTAATAAGTCTTAGAAAAATGTAAATAGGTTTTCAAACTGTTTCCGTGTCCTGAGTCAAAGGTTGCATACTCTGTAAAAAAGATTGTATTGAGAAATTATTTTAAAATGAATAGATAAATTTTCAAATTTGTTTAAACATTACTTTTTAACATAATACGGGTGATACATTTGTTTATTCATGTTATATGATTTAAAATAATAAATTCTAAGAGCTTTTCTGGAATATGGGATAAGCTTACAGATGGTAAATGTGTCCTAGAGCCATTTTTCTCCATGATGAGTTGATCGTCTGTTGTAGTCTTTCTATATACTGGGTTATCAAAATTCATGCTCTTAACGTTCCTTTTCTTGTATCTCCTCATCAAGACAAACACAACCTGTACAAAGAAATAATTTTCAGATTAAATATGTGTAGATTTTTATTTTAATAAAAGCTCTTTTTTCTAAAATTATACACAAATCTATTACAATTTTATATAAGCTTTTTAAATTATAGCAGTAATAAGATTTTGAAATTTATTAAGATAAAATGCAATGTGTATATTTAGGTGTTTTTAAAAAAAAATTAAAAAAAAAAAAACCATGCCAAATTTATATATTTAACTTTTAAAGCCTTTCAATTCCAGCATGGAAATTTAATACACTAATTTGCACCTAAAATGCAATTTAAAATTGCCTTAAATGTTAAACCAGGAATTTATTAAGTTACTCACCCCTCCAACAAGTAGTCCGACAACCAGAACAACAATTATTGCTATTATGGTAACAGTTCCATTTCCAGTAGATTCATGCACAGACATGAGAGTGTGGGTGTCATTAGCAACCTCCATGGTAGTCCCATGATCCAGTTCAGTTTCAGTTGTCTGTTCAGACGTCTGTACATTTGGCGCAACTGTTGTCACTGACTCAGGGGTTGGTCTCAAAGTTGGATTTTTTCCTGGCAACCTGTTGGGGCTTCCTGTATCAACCTCTGGTAGCTTGGTTGTTTGGGGCTCAACAACACCAACTGCAGGTAAAATATTTCATCCATATTATTTTTTTTACTGTTTAGCCAACGGTTATGAAACTGAACTTAAAAAATAAAATCTGCTTTGACTTATTGTCACTAACATACACAAGTTCAAAGGTACTAAAGAACATGTAAGAGTTATGCAGTTGTACATTTGTTTAAAAAATTGTCATAAGGCCTAATGCTTTGTTTACTTTTTTTTCTTCAAATTTTAACTTGGGAAATTTTTATCAATGTTTTTACCATTATCAATGCAAATGTGTTTTTGATCCCCTTCTCCAAATCTTCTCCCATTAGAACAGGCACATTCAAAGTTTTTGGTGCTATTTGTTGTATCATTGGTACGTGGTTTAGGCAGACACAGGTCTGTACAGCCGCCATTGTTAGCCCCACAGTGATTGGTTCCTAGAATACAGATACCACATGATACATAAATTATTACAAGTTCGGTTAATGTGCATAAAGAGTAAAGGAGCTAAAATATTTCTAAATTGTACTTGGCTGAATGATTTTACCAGCTTAAAAAAAAATTCTAAACATGAGAAAAGAGATAAAATGGAAATAAAAATAAATTTTTGAATGACACTACCTATATAAACTTTGATAAGAAAATGAGGGACATAGTTCTAAAAGTGTTGTAGTCTAATAAGCACTGACAATGTAAGTATGGTATAAAATTACAAAATAATCTACCTGTTGGCTGTCTGGAGATATGATAGACATGTATCCCCATAGGAGACTTGAGATTTAGGGCGATGGTGATTGCTACTTCTTTGCCAAATTTGTTCACTTTATGTACAGCGTTGGACATCCAGTCAGTCCAGAAGAGGTAGTCTTCAAATACTGTGATGCCGAATGGATGGCCGAGTATTGAATGATCTTTGTAAATGTTTTTGAAGTCTCCTCCCTCTAGATTACAACTTGCGATCGTGTGTAGTTTGGCATCGACCCAGTACAAACGTTGTTGAATGTAATCTGAAAATCCAATCAAAATAATATGACTTCCATTATGTAAAAGTTAATGCTAATTATCTGGTAAGGTTTAAATTGTGTTTAAAAAAGGTAAAAACTAGTACGTTTTTTTTGGTGAGGTTCATACATTTCAATCTGCTTCGATTAAATTGGCAATTTAAACCTAGTTATTTTTTTAAGTTCGCTTAGCATATACACACCAATAGTGAGTCCATTTGGCCATACAATGCGTTGAGTTACAATAGCCTTCCTCTCTTGACCATTCATACCAGATTTTTCAATCTTAGGTGTTTTGCCCCAGTCTGTCCAGTAGATCCAACTGTAAGACAAAATAGGCAAGTTTTTATTTAGCTCAAATAGGTTTTATTACACAATATAATTTGTTTTTAAAACGTCTACCGAACTTACCCATTTTCAGGGTCTACAGCCAATGCCCTTGGTTCATCAAGATCATCACTGATGAGTGTCTTACGATGGCTGCCATCCAGGCGAGATACCTCAATCTTGTTGTATCCAGTGTCAGAGTAATAAAGATTACGATGCACCCAGTCAACAGCAATACCATCTGGCATGCGAACACCTCCTTCAATAATTGTTTTTATCTCATCTTTCCCATTTTTCAGATTAGTGCTGTAAAAAGTTTTAAAGTCTAGATAAAAAAATCTTAATAAACTAGGTATTGAAAATACCAATCAAACCAGTATTTTTTTTTTTAAAAGCGCACTAGAATGAGACAAAAAAAAAGCCATAAAGCTTTTCGCAAAGTATTGCGCGTATTTAAAGTAAGGTAAAGATAACTTACACACAAATTTTCTCAGATTCGATATCAGTCCAATAGATAGAGTTCTCTCTGAAGTCAAAGTCCATGGCAACAGCCCCACTGACAGATTTGTTCAGAAGTCTGTTGTAATGAAATGTATCTAGGTGATAGCGACGCAGCTCATGACGATCTGACAAAATTAGCTCTGCGTGTTTGCCTGAAATAATTGAAGATTTTTAAAAATCATAAAGATTAAAATTAGCCTACTCTGTTGTAGCCTTTCACAAATTAAAATTGTGCAGCTGAATAAAAATTTTTATAGTTTATTTACTTAACCATTAATGTCCCGTAACGCCCGCTGCCGTCCGACACCGTTAATGTCCCGTAACGCCCGCTGCCGCCCGCTTACAATAAGCATAGAAAAATTAAATTTGTTTCATTAAAATTTGGCCTACAAATCCTAATTTTTAACTAAACAGGAAGTCGGATGGTTTCAGCATCCTTTTCCGGTCTTGTAATTTCAATGGCGCTTTTGAAAGATAAAAAAAAATAGTTTCTTTCTATCTCGAAATTTTCGACTCATCTGTCGTATTTTTAGTAGATTTAATATTAAAAATAAAAAAAATTAATGCCTCTAAACGTATCTAGGCATGTATTTTATGAATTATATATGTTAAACATAACCAAATTGATATTTAACTGTTAAATTCGATGCATAGTTGTTAAGACAAAAATAAATAAAGTTGACTACCGAAAATGACCTGTTTTGAATTTTCTCAGACATTTTTTATTTTTATACTGTACTTTTACCGAATATAATATATTCTATTTAATACTGTTGGAAAGCCAGGTTTATTCCCAACATTAAGCAGTACTTTTTATCTTAATTTTCAATTTCATTTAGACAAAAACAAATATTTTGTGAAACTATTCACTTGATCATACAGAGTTATGCTCCTTACATTGGGCCGTCATGGGTGGAGTTTTGGTAGAATGAATGGGACATTAATGGTTAATAAAGACTTTCAGGAATTAAACCTGATCAATTCAGGCCAGACACAATAGTTCAATGCGTAAGGTTAAACACAAAACAAAATAGTCAATGTTCAACTATTTTAAATAACAAAAAAAAAATGTTACTAAGGATAATACGAGTATAAAGTCAAACCTGCAGTGGCTTTGCAATAGCGATGGTCCGTCAAAGCATATCCTTCATTGCAGTCACACCTGTAAGAACCTTTGGTGTTGTAGCAGATCTGGGAACATGTACCAGGTATTTCACATTCATTAATATCTGTACAGTTCTTTGGGTTCTGTGGGTCCTCTTCATAACCAGCCCTACATTTACAGTAATGTTTGCCATTGTCCCCTGTGACGCAATAGTGCATGCATCCTCCATTTTTATCCAAACAGCTGTCATCTAAAAGAGGAAATCATACCAAAAATTAAACTTAAAATTGAGAATTAAAATTGAGCTCTTGTAGATTAAAGACAACATATTGTTTATTTCTCTTGCAATTTATTTTTCTTGCCACTGAAGCTATTAGAAATTTATGGCTACTTCTTAATTAGTGATAATGGCAAAACGATCTGGGCATGAGTAATTGAGAATTACTGAATTCTTTCACTGAAACATTAGCAAAACTAAACTTACTAGTACAGGAGGTCTCATCCTCCCCTTTGCTACAATCATTAACTTTATCACAGATTTTATCTCTAGGGATGCAGGTTTTGTCATCACATGTGAATTCGTCTGATTTGCATTCTACATTTAAAATAAACAAAATTTAAATGTTCAGCAAATAATATATTTATATATTATAAGGAACAAATTAACTTTTTTCAAGTATATTGCAATAGCTAATGTAACCATAATTTGTAAAATTGTGTTGAGCTTTTTGATCAGCTCTAAGCACTTTGAAAAAGAAAGACTCACTTGTAACATTACAATTGGCTTCGTCAGATTTGTCGTCACAGTCAAATTCTCCGTCACAGAAGAAATCACTCGAAATACAATGGTTAATATCGCAGAGCTTGTGATTAGGTGGACAATCACGTTTTGTACCTAAAACCCAGAATATATTTGTTTGGTTTATTTTAGCAATCAATAGTGTAAAAACTATTTTCATGAACTGTGTACCTAACACCAAATGTATAGTTTAATGTAATATCTCAAAAAACAATTTTAACAACTTACAGTTGAGTTCATCACTTCCATCTTGACAGTCCATATCACCATCACACAGCCAAGAGAGATGGATACACCGTGCCTCGTGTGCAGGTAAAGAACAGTAAAACTCATTTTGACGACATTCTGTGTGGTTACTGGAGCAATGGCTCTCATCCGATCCATCCTTACAATCCTTGTCTCCGTCACACCAAAAATGTTCGAGGATGCATTCTCCATCATTGCATTTCTTTTCTGTCTCAAAGTCACACTCTTTTACTTCAGCTGAAATGTAAGGAAATTTATTGCTATGAGATCTCATAAGTAATTATGTTTTCTAGTACCTAGAAATTTAATTTTCATTCCTGAGAATAGCAGCTGAGAACTGCATACTTAATTTTAAACTGCCCCAATTTTTTTTTTAAATCACTATTTTAATTTCTACGGACTAGGTACTGTATAAGGGATAACCTTTTGCTATATTCACTTCACCTGAAAGAATCAACAGCTAGGACTAATGAAAACTTTAAATTAATAGTTACTTACGGCAATCGATTTCATCTGTATTGTCACCACAGTCATCAGTACCGTCACACTTCCAACTACCAGTGATACACCTAGTGTTATTGCACTGAAACTCATCTGAGTCACACAGACTGTTACAACCTAATGAAAGAAATAACAGTAATTAAGCATTTCTTAATAGCTAGGCGATGGTATATGTAAACAAAGTATACTTATAAATAGTGTCACAAATCAATTCCTAAAGTTAATAATGGAATTTCGAGTCTTTATTAAAGACAATAACTGTTTTAACATAATGTAAGTGTCTGAACTATAAAATTACAGAGAACATAATACAAGTAGAAAGTATTAAAATGGTGAAATACATTTGCCTGCAAAAATAAACAGGGAGTGATCTCCCCTAAACATTCGCGAAAATTCTTATATAAAACAACAGGGGACAGCAACTCGGGATATACATGATTTTTAATCCATTTTAAATACTTAAACTTTTTAAAATAAAATAAAATCCTGTAGAAAAAATTTCACACCAAGTGAACACCACACAAATGTGCATAATAGTGCGGAATATTATTAGTACTTTATAAATTCACAGGCGTTTTTTGAGAAATCAGAAATATCGTAAATTACTACTTCCGGTCAATGGAAATTACTCAAAATTTGATAGAAGGCAGAGAATTATATCTTTTACTTACATGCGAAATTTCATTTATCTATCTGAAATAGTACTCAAGTTATAGGCTTTTGAAAAATTCAAAGTAAAAAAAATTCCACTTCCGGTTATCGGAAATCGCTAGTTGATACGGATCTACGATTTTGATAAAATACTAATATATGAAATTCCATCAACCTAGCTGTAACTATGTATTTTCGTCTCAGGGAAATGTAAAACGCCGAGATTTGCAAAAATCTCGATTTTTTTTTTCACGCTTACAAGATTATCTCTATACTTCGTATATACGAGATAGTAAAAAGTAAATACAGAAAAATCCATTTGGACAAGTCCATGATAAAAATCTGGCATTTAAAAATAAAGAATTTCACAAGAACTTACCTAATTCATCATCCCCCTGAGGACAGTCATTCTTGCCATCACATTTCCAGCTAGAGCTAATGCATTCAATGCCGTCCTTACACTTGTATCCATCGCAAGTACGATTTGCTGGAAAACAGATTTATCCGAAAAATAAAATCTTTACACTTTACATAAGGATAAGATATTACAATTAATTAACTTTTCTTAACACAGCCTTTCTGTTTGTTTTTAATTAGTGCCCCCCCCCCCTAAAAACTTAAGGATTCTTTTTTTTTAAGTGTTTAAAAACTTACCACACAAAGCTGGGGTTTCATCTGACCCATCGTTACAGTCATCAGTACCATCACAAAGCCATCTTATGGATGTGCACTTCCCATTTGTACAACGGAAATAGTCTGTACCACAAGTAGTAGCCTCTGAAAAATATAAATTATACAAATCTGTGTATAAAATTTACTTCAATAAGAAAATATCTAGTACAAAGTAAATAAAAAACTATAGTTAGTTCACAATAAAATGAAACAATGATCTTAGTAATTTTTCCAACTATCTCACATGGTCAGAAACACCCACCCTTTAGAGATCCAGGTATTTAATTGTAAATTCACAAAACAAACTCATGATTTGCAAAATACAACTGACTGTGTTCAAACTTTATAACATTTAGATCTAATAGCCATTTGTAATGTAAAAGGTGTGGTGGTAAAACAACTGCTTTGTTGTAGTGTACAGGGCTTTATTGGGTTGTTTTGTTTTTTTTAAGTAATTAGATCTAGATCTAGCCTGCTTTCTTTAGTTTTTTTTTTTTTAAGTAACTAGCCTATACTAAAGCTGTTTAAAGTAAGTAGCTATACGGCTTACTTTATTCAGCATGTTTATCTTAGATCAAGTTACGATCTTTATCAACCTAAATGAATAGAACACTAAAATGTGAAACTTGTATACTGTATTTTTCATCGTGTAGTATGAACAAGGTTTCATAGGCTACATTAAAGTAATCGTGTGACTTAAAAATCGCCAATTCCCAGAAAAGTATACCGTATGTCAGGCTAAGTGTGAAGTAAATTATAATAATTAGGAAATTATGTTAGATTCTACAAGACTAGACCTACTGATATTTGTAATTAAGCGTTATTTCCCAAACATTGTTAAGTACGCTTATATAGGCCTATTCGTATTTTGTGTTCATTGACTATTGGGCTTACAATATAGATCTATGGGCTTACAAATTACAATATACGAGCCTACAACGGGCTAACATTCGTGTGTTGTTTTTTTTTTAATTTGTGTTCAGTGACTTTTTTTTTGTTCGTTTTTTTTTTTTAAAAAACCGTTTCCATACATTTGCCGGTTGATATCATATCTGCGACGATGTTATCTAAAAAGGCCTTGCAGATCTATGTATGATAAGTCTGTGATGGGTATTTATTAGTCTAATTGGGCAATGTAAATTATAAGGACAAATTATGTAATAGCCTAACTGTTACCATGGCATGGCGGTCATACCCCCACACCCGTCCCTCAACCCTTCACTTCAACCAGCTTAGCCATGGTGACCTTACAACATACAAGTAGATGTGACCTTGCGTTCACCAGCAAAAAGCCACGATTGGTTTATTTTCTAGGTTAGAACCGCTCAGGAGACGGGATTCGACCAATGAAAAGCTTTCTATTTTAAATCACTAGGGCTTGCCCTCCCATTCCCTCCCTCCCCACCCCCAACTGCTGTGGGCGAGTTATTGAATTTCTTTGAGTTACGTGTATGAGAATGTGTAGAGGGCTTGGTTTTAAGATTATGGCACCCAAGATTTGCAGGTTCCATGTTTTTAAAGATATAACAACTAAAAATGACAATACCTAGCCTAGTTTTAATATAGTGTTGCCAAAACACCGGTTTTTAAAACACCGGCTCCTCAGATTTTGACAAAACTTGAAATTCGACAAAAACAGACAGACATACCTTTTAAAACTAGTCTATTATTTATTAGATTTTTACCAACTGGGAAACAGTCATTTAAGTTCACAAACATTCAAACAAGTACAACACTCTAGACTAATACAACTCAATGTAAGGTGGTTGTTTTACATGATATGCTTAGATTTCCACTACCCCAATTTAGAGGACTGTCAGATTGAGTTAATGAACAAGTAAATAGTTACTTACGACAACCCTTTTCATCCGAATCGTCGTTGTCTGGGCAGTCTTGCGACCCATCACACCTGAAGGCTAGCGTGATACATCTTCCACTAGCACATTGGAACTCGTCAGCCCGACAAGCTGATTGAAATAAAATGTGCCAGACATGAGCATGTGTATTTTTTTATTTATGTTAGTATTAAGAATCTAGTCATCATACACAGACTAACATATGTACTACATCTAGATCTATATGATATCAAATACTGCGAATAGGGCATACAATATGGCATATTTTTAACTTTCAAAATTAAAATGAATGAAACTATAGTTAGGCCTATTAGAAATCTATATTCTATAGATTATAGATCTAGATCTATCTAGATCTGTATACTTAAGTGTATACTATAGGCCTATTACTGTATAAATCTAGATCTAGAATCTAGATTCTAAAATAAAACAGACTGAATTAAATTGCAAAAGTTTTGTTAAATTATTTTTTTTAAACATCTAGCTTCTAGATCTAGATTCTAGATCTAGAAATCTAGATCTAGATCTAAATCAGAATCAATTTTTTTTTAAATGATGTAGATCTAGACTCTATATTGCGTTTCCGTTTATTCATGCCGGTACCGAGAGGTATAGCGAGGGCTATTACTATTATTTAAATAAGATAAAATCGTAGTTTCATTCATTCATCTTTTAAAAACTGCAACGTTATGGTCAATGATCAGAAGCGTTAGTCATCTGCCTTATTTGAATACAATGACTTGTGTTTTGTTCTCTTATCAAATCTACTGAACTTTGGGAGTGTTAAATTTTGTATACAAACGTATTGTCCTTATCTGCTCATGTATTCACCTTACGGCAGAGACAGTGATGTTAGCCTACTTTCTAATTCTTACCTTCTGATGTTCCTGTTACAAAATTCACGTTGAAAACCACACCGGCTAATACAAGTTGCAGGAGAAGAAGCCACATTTTGTGAAAAATCATCCACTATATTTTTAAAAAATGTTTAGAATTTCCGATTTATTTATGTTATAATTCCTGTCAGTGTGACCACGTATCTATGTTGTAAGTCCTCGCCGCTATCTCCTGAGTTACGTATGACAAAAATCTTCAAGTTCAAACGTCTGTCGTACCATACCTCTTTCAGTGGGCATGCGCGTTGGTTAGAATTCTAGTTCACACACACTGCGCTTTTATTGTAAACGTGTTATGGTTTGAACTGGAAAACAAAAATATCAGGTAAACACACGGCTCCAAAAAAAAATCACCGTCCTAAAATATAAAACACTACTTCAAAATTCTATTTTTTTTCTACTTTAATACTAATCAGCGTGTTGAAGAATGTTTTTCACCGTTCATAACATTAATACAAGATCCAGTACCACGTTTGGAGTAATGGTTGCCGGCGTCATGTAAAAAAACATCGTACGACTCGACTCGTTATTATGCACAGCCAATCAGAAACAGGCTGACTTTGTCTTTGAGAAAATGTTGTACTTTTGAGCATAATGCGATATATTTTAACATAAACGTATTATTAAGCTGTACAAATGTTAGGATACTTTTCAATTCTAAGCTGTTTGCCTCCAGTGTGAAAGATTTCTTAAAATAATGACCTGTAGATTAGATATTTTTCTGCTTTTGTAGATTTCATTCATAAAAAATCTAGGTCACTAGAGGTGACTAGTCTAGCGATGATGACGTACAATATAGTCCCTACTGTCTCTCTTAACTGCGGTATCTATAGGTCGGGTACTAGGGATGACGCAAGAAGTCTGTTTTCTGTTATTTGGTTTGGGTATCAGTTTCCTACATAAAAATAGCCATGTTTGACCATCGTTAAGAAAAATATTTAAAGTGTGACCTTTAAAAAAATAAATTAACGAATGTATATGCTTTATAAATACACCAATATGCCTATAAATAAACGAACTATTTTACATTTGTGTGTGTAAGAACAACATTCGGTCTTAATAAAGGGGCCATCCATAAATGACATAACACGTTGTTAAATTTATGAATTATGTGACGTCATTTGTAGACTACCTCTCCCCTAACCTATTCATTTTCATTCGACAGGTTTATTGTCACGTGATTTGTCTCAATAGAGGTCTATGAAAACAGGACGTTACATAAACAATTTTGAGCAAATAAACTGTGATTTCTTTCTTTTTTTTTTAATGCTCGCACAGTGGTCACAAAGTTTGATTACCTCACCCCACGCCATCATCCTATCAGAATTTCTTTCGGGCATCATTCCGCCCTCCCCCACCCCCGGGACGCAATAAAAAAATATATTTAATTTAAATAGAAAACATATACTTTAACCAGTGCCCGCTACTCTGATCCCGACCCCACTCTCCCAACTAGGACGGTAACTGTAACAACGTTTGGACATCGCAGACAGAAAGACTTTATTTATTTACGAAAACCCAAAAATCGTGGCAATAGTACACACGACTTGAAAGATAGCAGCAGCTAATTCCTTAGTACGAGATTGGCTGAATCATGGTCCAAATTACCGCCAGTCGAAAACTGTTATCAGTTAAATCAAAATAAGTTTAAAGTATAACAACGTATACTTTAGTCTTGTTATTTTGGTGACGTTTTTAACCTGGTGCCCCAAACAACCTACCACAGCCGCTCCTTAGGTTCGTTCGTTCTACGAGATATTCGTTCAATGAAACCAGTGTTTCTTTCAGATATTTCTCTCTGTAGGTGGGGCACTTGAAATTTTCGGGGGGGGGGGGGGTGGACTAATCTTTCCGAGGGGGGGGGGGGGGAGGGGGCGAACACTAGTAAAAATATATGTTTTCTAAATAAATAGTATTTCTTGGGGGGGGGGGGGTTAACGCAAGAGATGCATGAAAGAAACACTGAATAAAACGCGATTTCCAATAAACTTTTTTTATAAGAATGTGAATATTTATTAACATAACCCATATTGAATGTGAATATATTTATTAACATAAACCCATATTGAATGTGAATATATATTAACATAAACCCATATTGAATGTGAATATATCTTAACATAAACCCATATTGAATGTGAATATATCTTAACATAAACCCATATTGAATGTGAATATATATTAACATAAACCCATATTGAATGTGAATATATATTAACATAAACCCATATTGAATGTGAATATATATTAACATAAACCCATATTGAATGTGAATATATATTAACATAAACCTATATAGCAGGGATGAGAAAAAAAAATAAAGGGAAATATTACCTACTTAAAAGGTGGCTAACTTCTACTCTATAATTGAGCAGCCTAACAACCACCTATCTGCTAAACGTTACCTGATTAAAAAACGGCATATCGATCCATGCCAGGTACAGCAGCACGGAAGCTGCACACCAGTTCAATACTGACCGATTGGGGATGTAAAATATGCATGAGGGAAGGGCATTAAAGCCAATCGGGTGGTTCTTAAGGTCACCGCGCCCTAGGACCACGGTGTGTGTGTGGGGGGGGGGGGGGGTGTATGATTACTTAACACGACAAACCTGGATCGAATTCCGGTACCGTCAGAAGTTTAGACTAGGGTTTAAGATACGTAAATTATGTAGCGGAGCGTAACCAGCTTAAGTTAGTACCTGGCATTAGTTTGGCCTGTGTTCGAGAAATAAAAACACGGGTCATTTTTACATTTTCGTGAACCGGTTCATTTCCCAGCCTCGGATAGAGTTGTACTCTACTCCACCTGCCCCAACGATACCACAGATATTGATTAGACTTCAATTCGAACCACATGTACTTATTTTTTTTAAAGTCCAATTAAAAAATGACGGTGTCATTTAGCTCTAGATTAAGAAGGTCATCAATTATTTTAAAATTTAAAAAGAATTTGAAGATTCAGTAAAGTAATGCTAGCTATTCAGTACTTGCATGTAACTTGGTAATCTGTTTACAATACTCATTCGATCTGTACATGAAAATAGTTTAAGAAGCGGATACCTCTCTTCGGTAGAAGTTTACTTACGTAACATTCAGTTTACTGGTCAATTAATTAATATAAATTACCAATTAGACCCGATTATTTATATTCTTCTACACAGAATCAATAAGTAAATAAAGTGTGTGATAGGGGTGGGGTAGTGTATGTGTGTGTGGGGGGGGGGGGGGGGTAGATCGTAAACAGAGGCGGAGCGACCCTTCCCGGCGCCCGGGGAGAAACTTTCGATTTGCACCCCCCCCCCCCTCGAACTTTTCATTTGAATCCCCCTCCCTCAAACTTTCGATTTGCACCCCCCCCCCCTCAAACTTTTCATTTGCACCACCCCCCCCCCTCAAACTTTGAATTTGGCGCCCCCCCTTTAGTTCGGCGCCCGGGGACATATGTCCCCCCCCTCGCCCCCCCCCCCCCCCACCCCACCCGTGGCCCACCCCTCGCTACGCCTCTGATTGTAAACAATGAGTAAATCCATTTCAAATAAATATCTAAAAATTGCGCGAGGAACCTGATAACGACGATCAGGCCTAGCATGAGTCAGGCAGATCGTGACGCATGCCGGTAGTGCGTAGATCGGCAGGTAAGTGTTGTCAGAAGGTAGCCCGGGCTACAGGTCATCCGGTGACGACAAATCACCTGGTGCTATGGTCTGACTTGTGTGGCGTGACCTTTTTTCACCCCCCCCCCCACGCCACACACACACTGCCAAGCCCCACCCCTGTAAAAAAAATTTCAACCACTGGTTTATTTTGTTTCGTCCTCTACGACCACGTGAACTGTTTTAATGGCTAATAGTCACGTGAAATACGATAAGAAAATTAGTCTTGAGATGTACGCACAATCTTGTGACGTACCACACATCTTAAAGCGCTGAAGAGTCTCAAGATATTCCGCCAGTATTTATGAAGATAAAGGCTGTGTTTGTTTCGCCCGCTTGTCTTTATTAATAATTTTGATGTTTCAAAATAATGAAGAAAAACAATAAAACCTTCCTTTTATCTAATGCGACTTTTTTGTCCATTAATTATTATTCACTCAAAATTAAGGAGATCTATGTAAAAATATAAATTACATTTCATCAAGAATTCAAGTAAAAGTGTGTGGTGGTGGAGGGGGTTGGGGGGGGGGGGGGGGTAGAAATAACTTCATCTGAGATCTTTGCTTATCCAGTATTTAATGGACACCAGCGAGAAAAGTCTCAAAGGTATTTGAGAGGTGTATAAATTCATTTAAAAATCATGCACAGCGTAGTTACAATTAACATGGTTATAAACTCCTGCCTGTCTGGTTTTTTTCGGACTTTACTAAAGATTGGATGTATTTGATGTTTATAATATTTTCGGTAACTAAATAAAAATTAAAAAAAAAAGCAAAAACAATTTGGTTTTCACGTGTAATGGCGACATAAACAATGGCATCCTGCTATTCGATAGGCCGCCAAAGATTTTATTGTACACATTGTAAGCTAAAAATAGAAAACTAGGTCATGGGGTTTTTAATTTGCATTGTTATTTAAAAACTTGATCTGCAAAGTTTTGTAAACAAATAGTTATCGATCACTAAGTTACTGTACAGCCAATCAATATTTGTCTTACGAAAGTGAAACATCCGGTTATAACTTAGGCTTGATGAAAATAAATAGAAATGTAGCCTTAAACTCAACAAATTATTTTCAAGTTCTCTGGATTTGCAACTTTTATAGCATTTATTTTAAAAATATAAAATTTCTAAATTAATTTTAGGCTTAAGTTTTTATTTTTTTTTACGGTCTAAATCTAAAAAGCACGTTTTTATTCCATGTCAACAACATTATGGAAGGAATCTCGTCAACTCGCTCGCCTCCATTATGGAGCAATGTGTACGCCAGTTGTTTTTTTTTAAAAATTGATTTTTATATTTCATTGGTGGGTTGTATTGCCCCCCCCCCCCCCCCCCCCCCCAATGAGCAGTTGGATACTTTCAAATTTACGGTTCAATACATTAAAAATGAAAAACAAAGATTTTAAAAATTAATATTTTGTCACGCCCCTTCCCCATATAATTATTATAATTACACTAATTACTGTACCTCATGTTTAATTTTCAATCAACCATCTCCAGGTAATGCCAGGTATACTCTAAACTCCCATCCAGAAATATTGTATTATATGAAGAATATTCTAAAATTTTATGTTTTTATTTGTATTCTTTCAGGCATCTCTTCGGGTGGTACTCCCCCCCCCCCACACCCCACACCCCAGAACGAAAAAGAATTAAAATACAAAATATATACTTTAACCAGTGACTCCCCCACCCCCCAAGATTCAAGTATTCCCTGAGAAAATATCATAAAGAAACACTGCTTGTCATCAGAACGGTGGGAGTGGGGAATATTTTCACACACTCACGAATACGTATTGCGCAATCGAATATTTTTTTTCTATA